GCAGCCAAGGCAACGGAGATGCCGTTGGCGTCTTGACGCGGGATGATGGTCGTGTGGCAGACATGGTAGTTGTCGTTGTTGCAGCCCTGCGTGTGTCAGCAACGCAAAGGCAGAAGGAGCCAGCACGATTGGCCCGATGCCGGGCCATCAGCTTGGTTTTGAGCTTGGTTTCGTCTGCTGACGTGCACAGGTTGGGCCCGATCGATCGGTCGAGATCAAACCCCTGCGCTTGGCTGTTTTGTTGTCGTGGGTGTTGTCACCGCCACCAAAAAAGAAGGCCAAATCACCAATCACAATGTGGTGGCTATAGTAGTGGTAGTGGTGGTGGTCGTCGAGGAGGAGGAACAAGAAGAAGAAAAAGAAGAAGAAGAAGAAGGGTTGGATAGGTCGGCAGTCGGTCAGAAAGGGAAACGAAAAAATGGCTGCCAACAACAGATGTCGATGAAGACACAGTATGTGTCTGTCTGTGTGTCTGTCTTTGTGTGTATGTGTCTGTGAGTGAGAGACAGAGAGAGAGAGAGAGAGGTACCCAAACCCTCGATGTTGCTGTGAGACCGCACCAACCACCGATGATGGCAATGAGAGCGAGAGAGAAAGAGAGAACAGCCAGCGGCAGCAGGTGTGAATGCAATGTGCGGGTGGAAAGAAGGAACGTCGTTGGCGGCTCGAGAGTTTGTCGTTAATGAGAATTTTGCATGAAGTTTTTAATGAATTGTCAGAACTGGGTGAACCCAAACGAGAGAGCAGTCCTCTCCTTCTCATGAGGTCAAGAGGCTCTGAGGCTGTGGGTTTGTGGGGGTGGCTGCAAAGGGTGTGTGTACTGTCTTGTGATCAGACAACACGCCCTTCTTCTTCTTCTTCTTCTGCTTCTGCTTCTGCTTCTTGTGGCGTGAATAGCACAGGCCCGCTCAGGGAAGGGAAACAACAGCAGCAGCAGTGTCGTCTCTCAGCGCAAAGTCATCATCGTCATCATCACTCCCACACGCTACTTAATTCAGTTTCACACCTGTGCACTGAATTCAGTTTCACGCAGTTGCAGCGTTCGGGGCCGCAGCAGCAAACCCTGACTGGACGAAGAAACTCCAAACCTCGCAGGCACAAGCAAGAAGAAGCATGGCTGGCTGGCTGGTTGTGGCTGGTTGGTTGGTGCGCATTCGCAGGAGGGCAGGAGAGCGAAGAAAGCAACAAAGCCGCAGCAGCAGCCGAACGAGAGAGAAGACAAGTGGAGTCGTCAGCGTGTTGGGTTTTGCCTGGAGAGATCGCTCGCCAGCTCACGCATGGTGCTGCGCTGTGGCAACAAGTGCAGTTTTCCCCTCATCTCCCCCTCGACAACGCATGTAATCAACAAGGCACATCCATCGAGGAAAAGGTGAGACATGGCATGGAGGTGGAGGTGCAAGCGTGTGCTTGTTGTTGGTTGAATAATGTAAACAACACACGTGCTTGGTTGGTTGTGGTGCTTCTGCTACTGCTGGTGGTGGTGCTGGTGGTGGTGGTGGTGCTGGTGGTGGTGGTGACGCAACCCAGCCACGCATGCGTGTGGCCACCCATCCCGAACACAACAAGACACACACATGCACACACACACACACACACGCACGCACGCACGCACACACGAACACGAGAGCTGGTTCGCAAACTCCGTGATGTGACACGGCTCGTCGTATGTGTGTGACAACGCATTTTCTCTTTCTCTCTCTTCCACTGCGTAACAATTGCCTTTGGAACTCACGTTTGTCTCTCTGGTTTCCAATGATGAATGCCTGCCGTCTCAAGCAGTATCCCTCCCCCAGGACACACACGCACACACAAAAGCACAGTGTTCCACTGATCAGAGACAATGGCGCCGTCATTGCTGTCCTTGGCGACCTGCGCCAGCCTCATCATCATGATGCTGCTGCCACTAGTGCAAGGCACAAGCGGCAACCTTTGCGTAAGCCACTGTGTGTTTGTTGTGGCGATTGCACTGATCCCCCCACCCCAGTCCTCTGCGTAAATGCTCACTCGTCCTCCACCTCGTCGCAATCCTATTCCTGTTCCTAAGTCTTCCGCCACCTCGCACGCATGCCGCGCTTCCCTCTCAACCTCTCTGTGTGCATGTTTGTGTTGCGCCCGCAGAAAACACACAACTACACCTGTCCGTCCGGAGGGTGCCCCGATGACTGCTCGTCGCCAATGTACTTGTGCAACCGCGACGTGGACTTGGCAACCAACACAACAGGTAAACGTACAGGAGAAGGCATCTCAAGTGTGCCTCCCCCGTCGCTCTGTGTGTGTGTGTGTGTGTGTGTCACGTTGCATAGACACTCGGACACACATCTTGACACATAGGTGCACACTCACTCACTCACTCACTCACTCGCACTCTCACTCACTCTCTCACTCACTTACTGCATGCCAACCCAACAACCGCGTTCGCTCGCACGCAGACTTTCAGTGCGACCACGTGGACCTGTTCAGCTCGACGGGCGTGGGCCAGGACGTGGGCACGCTGATTGTCCTGTTTGTGTTCCTGGGCATGTCCAGTGCCGGCGGCATTGGCGGTGGCGGTCTCATCATCCCCATCCTCAGCGTCATCACCCTCTTCCCGCCATACTACGCCGTCCCGCTGTCGTCCACAGCCATTGTCGGCGCCTCCATTGTGCAGTTTTTCTTCCAGATCCGCAGGCGGCACCCGCTGCCCGGCGCGCAACACCGCCGCGTCATCGACTTTGACACCATCCTCATGCTGCTGCCGCTCGCCCTCGCCGGCACCGTCGTGGGTGTCATCTTCAACACCGTATCCCCGGACTGGCTCGTGCTGGTTGTTGTCATCATCGTGCTTGTCTTCACGACATTCAAGACGCTTGTCAAAGGCCGTGAGCTGCGGCGGCAGGAGCAGGAGGCGCGGGCGCTGCCACGCCGCTCCATTGTCAAGCACGGCATCAACGATCCAAACAGCGTCAACGGCGAGGAGGACTCAGGCACCACGGAGACCATCGACACAGTGGGCGAGGACGCGAAGCGTGACGCCCTCGGGTCCAGCAGTGATGGCAACGCAGCAAGCAACGGTGGCCCCGACACAACTGCTGCCGCCAGCCAAGACACCAAGAAGGGAGGCATGTCGCGCAGCACCAGCAGCAGCAGCACCACCAGCCGGCAGCGGCAGTCCCAGCGGCGCAGCAGGAGCAGCTTGAGCGGCGGGGAGGTGCTGGTGGTGGACTACTCTGGCCCAGCCGACGATGCTGACGACAATGGCGCGCACAACCGCCGCAGGAACGACAGCGACGACAGCATGGAGCGCGTGGAGATGAAGGGCATGAGCTCGAGCACGGCAGACAAGCAGCGCCTGCAGGAGGCGCGGGAGAAGCTGCTGAAGGAAGAGGCCGCAATCCCGTGGACGCCGATGCTCATCACCCTGTTTGAACTTGGCGGCGTGATTGTGTTCTCCATGATTCGCGGTGGTTCGGGAACCTCCCTCGCCGGCATCATGTGCGGTGATGGCGCGTACTGGGGCGTGCAGGTGTCCACGTTTTGCTTCCTCCTGCTGTGCACGTTTGGCGGGTATCTGTATGTGAAGCGCCACCACGAGCGACGGCTTGCTGTCAACTACACCTTTGTGGAAGGCGACATTGACTACATTGGTGGCGGCGTCGCCAAGTACCTCTTCTTTGGTATGTTCGTACTGGTGTACGTGTGTGTGTGTTTCTGTTTGTGTGCTCTGTGGCGTGTGCATGTGTGTGCATGTGTGTCTGTGTGCGTGTGTCCGCCTGTTTGTGTGCTCTGTGCGTGTGTGTGTGTGTGCGTCTGTCTGTATGTGTATCTGTATGTGTGTATGTGACGTGGTTTTTCCTGCCCCAGACGCACGCAAGGGCGTATGTTCGTGCTTCTCACACTGCTGCCGTCCACTGCGCACCTCCAGCCCTTGTTGCCGGTATGCTTGCTGGCTTCCTCGGCATTGGCGGCGGCATGGTCCTCGCTCCTCTTCTCCTCCAATTCAACATGCACCCGCTCGTGAGTGGCCTGCGACATGTTGATGCTGGTGGTGTCAGCGAGCCTTTGTCGCTGTTATGCTCTGCACTTGCGCGCGTGTGTACGCCTGTGTGTCCTTGTATGTAAGTGTGTGTGTCAGTCAGTCAGTCAGTCTGTCTGTCCAGGTGGCAGTGCGTATCTGTAAGTCTATCCAGTCGTCTGCCTGCATCTCTGTTGGCCAGCCTGCTGGCTCTGCGTGCATTCCATTTCCCTTTGATGACAGGGCTCACCACAGCTGCTTGTGTCCACCACAAACAGGTGAGCTCGGCGACCACGGCATACATGACGCTCTTCACCTCTGCGGGCTCGTTCACCCAGTTTGTCATCCTCAACCGCGTGCCCTACGACTATGGCATTGCCCTCTTCCTCCTGGCTGCGGCCGCCTCTGTTGTTGGGCAGATCCTGCTCCACTCGTATGTGCGGCGCACGGGCAACTCCTCTGTGATTGCGTTTATCCTGGGGTTTGTGATTGGCCTTGCAGCCATCATGCTGCTCGTCTCCGGTTCGCTGCAGCTCAAGGCCGCGCACGATCGCGGCGAGTCCTTTGGCTTCAAGCCCCTCTGTAGCTAGGCTGCACGTGTGCCCGCGTGCCATGTTCTTTGTGTGTATGTGCGTGCGTGTGTGTGCGTGTGTGTGTGTGTGTGTGTGTGTGTGTGTGTGTGTGTGTGTGTGCGTGCGTGTGCCTGTGTCTGTGTCTGTGTGTCTGTGCGTGCGTGTGTCTGTGTCTGTACTATCTGTGTATGTGCACAGCAGTTTGCTTGCTTGTGTATGCGTCTGCAGCGAGCTGCGTTGTTACGTTGTGTTGGCCAGCCAGTCTTTTACCCCCTTGTTCTGCGCCCATTGTCACTTGTTGTGGGTACCATCCATCCCTTCACCTTCCATTGCCGCTCTTGCTGACACTCGCTCCATCCATCTGTCGTGTGCATTGCTGACTGACCACCTATCCCCTTCAACATAAACAAACAACCGTAAAGAGACAGCAGCTGCCGCTGCAAACACACGTGCACTGCGCTGCGTGCCGCAATGGCGCTGGTGGCGGTGATGGGGCTGCCTGGCAGCGGCAAGAGCACGCTCTGCGCGCTGCTCAGGGAGCTGCTGGTGAAGCAAGGGTACGCAGATGTGGCAGTCGTCGACTTTGACGACGCAGCTGTCCATGATGGTGATCGCGATAGTGTCAGCGAAGCCACGTGGAAGGAACAGCGAAGGATGGCACTGGCCAAAGTGGAGGCACTGCTGCAGGCACCGCCCTGTGGTGAGGGTGCTGGCAATGGTGACGGCAACGACGCCGGCAGCCAAGTGCAACGTCGTGATGCGGTGGTCATCGTCGACGACACGTTACACTTGAGGAGCATGCGCCGCGAGCTCTTTCGGATCGCTCGACAATGTACGTATGTGCGTGTGTGCGTGTGTGTGTGTGTGTGTGTGTGTGTGTGTGTGTGTGTGTGTGTGTGTGTGTGTGTGTGTGTGTGTGCGTGTGTGTGTGTGTGTGTGTGTGTGTGTGTGTGTGTGTGTGTATGTATGTGTGTGTGTCTGCGTGTCTGCGTGTCTGTCTGTGTGTAACTCTGTGTGCCGCTCTGTAATGTGTCTGCCTGTGCACATGCTTGCGTCCCTGCATCTTCGCCTCGACCGAGGTGTCGTTCGATCTGACGTGACTGTGGCCAACCCTCGATGCGGCTGTGCAGGTGGCGTTGGGTTTGGTGTGATTGCTGTCCAGACGGAAGTGGAGGAGTGCTGCCAGCGGGATCTGGCCCGACCACAACCAGTTGGAGCCGCCGTCATCCACAACATGGCCAGCCGCGTCGAGCTGCCAGCCGAGGCATGGGAACCAAGCATCACCGTGCAGAACAGCAGCCGCTGCTCGAAAGACGAGGAGCTAGCTGTCCAGCGTACCGACGTTCTCAAACACTGCTCAGAGTTCCTCGCGCGCACTTGCTCCCAGCCCCTCACACCCTACATCGACAATACGGCAGCCAAGGTTCACACACATGCTGGGAGTTGGGCGAGGGAGGCAAGAAGAAGAGATCAAGTTCTGTCTCGCCCCTTGCTTGCCTTTGTGTGTGTGTGTGTGTGTGTGTGTGTGTGTGTGTGTGTGTGTGTGTGTGTGTGTGTCTGTGTGTGTGTGTCTGTCTGTGTGTGTGTGTGTGTGTGTCTGTGTCTGTGTGTGTGTGTGTGTCTGTGTGTGTGTGTGTGTGTGTGTGTGTCTGTGTGTCTGTGTCTGTGTGTCTGTGTCTGTGTCTGTGTGTGTGTGTCTGTGTCTGTGTGTCTCTGTGTGTCTGTGTGTCTGTCTCTGTCTGTCGACCTGCCTGCCCACCTGTCTACCTGCCCGCCTACCTGCCTGCCTCTCTGTCTGTCTGTCTGTCTGCCTCCACCTCTTCAGATCTATCTGTGTGCCTTGCGTCTGCACAGCGTTCCTCCTCCCCCGCCGTGTGCCATCTGCTGATTGTGTTCACTCCGCCTTACCCTTGCCCTCACATGCAGGCTGCTGCTCGGCTCGCAACAGCCAAGAGCTTACTGCACCAGACCGACCTTCGTCTTCGCGGCTGTGTTGGAAATGCCCTCAAGACAGCCACAGCTCTCTCGTAAGCTTACACGCATGCCCGCTCACTTATGTGTGCGCGCATACATGCACACTTCTCTCACCCCTCGCTCACATGGCTGCTCATAGCGCTGAGGAGAGACGAGACGCCGTGTCCCGCATCTCTGCCCTCAAGTCTTCTGTCTTGGCTGACCTGCGAGCTGGTATGCAACCCTGTGGTGTGTGTGTGTGTGTGTGTGTGTGTGTGTGTGTGTGTGTGTGTGTGTGTGTGTGTGTGTGTGTGTGTGTGTGTGTGTGTATGTGTGTGTATGTGTGTGTGTGTGTGTTGTCTTTGTAGGTGTTCTGCTGTGTGCATCTGCCCCTGCGTCTCTGACAACGCACCACTCATCCGCCCTCTCCGCCTTCCCCCAAACACACATCTTGACTACAGTTGGTGATGCGCTGAGCGCGCTCGAGTGCGAGGAGGCCGTGACGGCGTTTGAAGCCGCAATACGCGACATTGTGCAACCATGATGCCAGCCGGGTCCGGTCAGTGGTGCGCGCAAAGGTTTAATCGTCATCAAAGGCACAAGGGACAGGAAGACAGGAGCAAAGAGAAGAAGAAGAGGAGGAAGAGGGAAAAGAGGTTGTTACACCAGTCAAACGTGCAATGTGACACCAACAACGCGTCCAGAACCGCACAACAACAGCTACGCACACGCACGCGACACACTCTGGCAGCCGGATATGTAGTAAACACCGAAAGGAGACGCCTGTCTGTTCCAACCACCAACAAACACTTGGCACATTCACTGTGCTCATTCCTCCCCCACGTCCATATCGCCTTCTCCGGCATCTGCATTCTCGCCTCCAGCGCCGCCTGTTTGAGTGGAAGCACAGCAACCAACAAGATTGCAACAAGCAGCGCACGAGAGTGAGTCACCGAGTGATGAGTGATCTCTTGCGATCTGGCGGTGCGCGGTACGACCAAACAACTCGCACATGCGTCAATGCTTCTCGCGCATGCGCGCGTCTATATTCCGCACCACTGTACACACACACATACACAAAAGCAAACACACACACACACACACACAGCTGGCTTGACCTGTGATACGGATGGCGCCGACGTCGTCTGCGGGCTTCTCCGTCGGCTCAAGCGCAAACCGCTTCATCTTCTTAAGCGCCTACAAACACACACACACACGCACGCAAGACGGAGAGAGAAAACAAAGGGTGCGGTGGCATGCGTAAGGTTGCGGTTGAGGCGCTACGCAGAGCATCGCTTCCAGCACTCTGCCTCAGTAATGCATTCCTGCTCTCGCCCCCCCCCTTTTTTTTTTCCTTCTTTCCTCTCTTCCTCCGCCACCTCGTTCAGAGTGGATGCATTAGATACCACACGCCAGCCAGCACCCTGCGTGCCACAGCCACCCCCTCTCCCTCCCTCCATCGACAACATGGCCTGCCTCTCCCAGTGCGTTGTACCTTTTCGCCCGAGAGCTTCTGTACAACGGCCTTGTTCTTCTCGTAAATTGCCTCGAGGTTGAACTCCTGCGCCCACCCCGACACAATCTGCGCGCTGAGCATGTTCTCTGGCTTGTAGCTCTCCGGTGCCTTTGTGTAGAACGAAATCTTGCCCGTGTGGAAGTCGTGCAGCACCTGCCGCGCCGCCGCCTCAATGTCCGGCACGCCGGCCTTCTTCAGCTTGCCCAGTCGCCGCGCGAGCAGCTGCAGAAACTCCATGGTGGAGGAGAAGCGTGGCAGGCCATACATCTCCATGATGTGTGTGAGGTCGCAGCGGCGCAGGAGCTGCCCAATGGCGGTGATGGGATCCTCGATCGCATCCGCGCGGATGCAGTGGCGCAGCGCAAGCGACGACACCTCCGTCTTGGACGAGAACACAATGCCTGGTGGTGGCGGTGGTAGTGGTGGCGGAGGGGGAGGCGGTGTGGTGGTGGTGGTAAGGCGGTGGTGATGAGGGTTGATGACGATGGAGAGTGAGAAACCAAAATACAAGGCATACACCAAAGTCGTTCAGACAATCACACACACGAACACATCATCACACAAACCCTATTCATATAAACGTCACATGTCACACGTCACGCGCACCTGGGCTGTCGAGGAGGCAGATTTTCTTTGTGAGCATGACGCGCTGGACGCCGCGGGTGATGCCGGGCATAGCGCCAACCTGCGCCGCCTTTGCGCGCTTCAGCGAGTTGATCAGCGAGCTCTTGCCCACGTTGGGGTACCCTGCATGGCGTGGACGGGGTGGGGGAGGGGAGTTGGGTTGGGTTGGTGTTTCGTATGCCTTGACAAGAAAGAGTGCAGCCACTTCCAACGTGCGTACATTCGCACATGCAATCAAGCCCAACACACACACACACGCGCACACACACACACACACACACACGCACACACATACACACACACGCACACACACAACACACAACACACAAAGCACGCCTGCGTACGCACCAACGACGCCGACTGTGATTGCCATCTTGAGGTCCTTGTTGCGGGCGTAGTTCTGAAGGAGCTGGAGCAGGCTGTCGCCGCCAAAGCAGCCGGAGCCGCCCACGTTGGTGTGGGTGAGGTTGCTGCGCTGTGACTGTGTGGACGACTTGAACATGATGGTCGGGAACTCGTTGCGCAGGCGCTGCACCCACTTGAGCACTTCCTCCCGCGGCACGAGGTCTAGCAACGCAGGCGCATCCGTGCACAGCCGCCATTCGTGTGGGGTGGGGATGGGGTGAGGTGAAGTGAGGGTGGAGAGATGAAAGGTGAAGGCGTGGTGGAGATGGGTGGGTTGTGGCATTTTTTGCACGCAAGGTGGTGCGTGGCAGGAAGATGCATCAAGAGACACTCGCCACCTGCTTCAAGAACAACAATCGCAACAACCACAGAAACCCCCTCCCTCCCTTGTTCTCCTCCCATGACCGCATGCATTGGGTGCGCGTACCAATCTTGTTGAGGACGAGGACGAGGCGCTTGCGCGAGGCAGAGCTCGTCACGAGCGACTCCACAATGTCAGAGCGGCTGGCAATGGGGTCGCGGGCATCCAGCACCTGCAGGATGACGTCTGCTTCCTCAACAACCTGTGCAAAGTGGCGGAAGAAGTTGCGGCGGGACTGGTCCTTGGCGGCACCTGCGGGATCGGCCTCGTCCATATCCATGGCCGTCTCGAAAACGCGGCTGCGCATCTCAGCCTCCTTTTGCAGTTGGGCCAGGTCGTGCGTCTGGGAGCGGAGCGACTCGCGTGCCTCGCGCAGCATCTTGCGGCGCTGCAGCTTCTCCTGTTCGGCTTGCTCCTTGGCATCCTCCACCTCCTTCAGAATCTGTTTGCGAAGCGGGTGCATGGTTGGCACGCCGGGGTCCTTTTTCAATGTGCTCTTTCCTTCAAGCCGTTGCTTGCGTCGCAGCTTGCGGTTGTGTTCTGCCACCTTGCGGCGGATTTTGTGCTGTGTGTGTGTGTGTGTGTGTGTGTGTGTGTATGTGTGTGTATGTGTGTGTATGTGTGTGTATGTGTGTGTATGTGTGTGTATGTGTGTAGTTAGCGCATGTGCATGAATGACAGACAGAGTGCACGCGTGGGCTCAAGTTCGAGTGAGATGGCAGGTGTCTCCTACACATACAGCAGGATTGTCCCACCAACAAGCATGTACACACGCAAACACACACGCACATACACACACCTTGTCCTTGAGTTTGATACGCTTGCTCTTCGAGCCTGTGGTGATGTTCGGTGTGAGACGTGAGCAGATCGATCGCCATCAAAACCACGCACGCCAAACAGAAGACGAGGGTGTACGTGTACGTGTGTGCGTGTCTTAAAAATGCGCCACAAATGAGCACACACCACCGCAAGCATACACCAACACCCTCATGGCGCGCGCACACACACACATGCCAACTTGGACTTACGAGCTTTCTTTGCCACAGGTTTCATCCCCATCTTGACTGGTGTGGGTGTGTGGGTGTGCTGTTGTTCTTGGCGTGCGTGGGCTTCTTGGCACGTGGTGTGATGATTTGAGGCGAGAGAATGCACCCGCAAAACGCTGCGGAATTGCTAGCGACTGAATTCAGTCGCTGACATGCACACTCATTTCTTTTGCAGCAGCAAGAAGCAAGCAGCATCAGTGCTCTCTGTCACCATCCACCACCACCCAAAGTCAGACGATGGCTGCTCGCTCCCTGATTGCTGGTGCTCGCCCCTTTGGGGCCAGCTGGCAGCAGACCATGCTGCGCATCCGTGACCCGGCCGCCTCCCTTCGCTTCTACACCGAGCTCCTTGGGTTGGTTGTGTGTTTGTGTGCGTGTGTGTGTTTGTGTGTGTGTTTGTTTGTGTGTGTGTGTGTGTGTGTGTTTGTGTGTGTGTGTTTGTTTGTTTGTTTGTTTGTTTGTTTGTGTGTGTGTGTGTGTGTGCTGCCTTCTGCTGTTTCTCTGCCCATCGCCGTCCCCTTCTTCCTCCCCCTCCACGCGCACACACACACACACACTCTCACCTACTTCCACATGACACGTTGTTCACTCGCAGCTTCAGCCTCATTCACAAGTACGACTTTCCCGAGAACAAGTTCAGCCTGTACTTTCTCGCCACGCTCCCCAAGGTACAACAGAGTGGCTGCATACCTGTTCTCCCGACATCCTTTCTGCAGCCAAGCGTTGCGTTCGAGCAGAACACTGACATCTGCTCCTCATCGCCTCGCTGACTTACGCGTTCAACCCATCGTGTGACGGGCTCATTCAACAAGCGCAACCAACTCACTACCAAACCAAAATCACATTCACTTGCACTTGCTTGTGTTGTTTTGGCAGGACGTGAAGGCGCCCAAGCCCGGAACCAAGGAGTCGGAGCAGTTTCTGTGGACAATGCCTTACACCTGCCTTGAGCTCACCCACAACCACGGCACTGAGACAGACCCCAACTTCCACTACGACTCTGGCAACAACGAACCAAAGCGTGGGTTTGGACACATCTGCGTCTTTGCCGACGACGTCTACGCCGCCTGTGACTACCTGGAGAAGCATGACGTACGTGTGTGTGTGTGTGTGTGTGTGTGTGTGTGTGTGTGCGTGCGTGTGTGTGTGTGTGTGTGTGCGTGCGTGTGTGTCTGTCTGTCTGTCTGTCTGTCTCTCTGTCTGTGCTTTTGTGCCTATCTGTATCTGAATGTGTGTGTGTGTTTCCGCCTATCCCCCCTCATACTTACGCTGCAACTGCCGCGTGGTTGTCGACAACACGTGCACGTCATGGCGGCGGTGCAGGTGTCCTTCAAGAAGAAGCCGGACGAGGGCCGCATGAAGGGCCTCGCATTCGCTTACGACCCCGATGGTGCGGCTGCCCACGCCCAACTGCATGCACACACATACACACATACACACACACACACGCTGTTGGTGTTGCGCGTTGGTTTAATTGTGTTTCCCTCTCTCGCAAGTGTGCTACGTTGGCTCACCGGCTGCCCCTTGCTTATAATCAACGCCTATTGCTTGACTGTGATTGCCTTCACGAATGGTGCATCCCCATCGCCCTCGCTTCTTCTCCACCACGACGCAGGCTACTGGGTGGAGATTGTGAAGCGTGCTGAATCGCACAAGCAGGAACGGTTCACCTTTGGTGAGACTGCAGTGGATATGGTGTGTGTGCGCGTGTGTGTGTGTGTGTGTGTGTGTGTGCGTGCGTCTGTGTGCTTGTGTGTCTGTGTGTGTCTGTCTGTCTGTCTGTCTGTCTGTCTGTCTGTCTGTCTGTCTGTCTGTGTGCTTGTGTGTCTGTCTGTTTGTCTGTCTGTCTGTCTGTCTGTGTATCTGTGTCTGTCTGTCTGTGTGTCTGTCTGTTTGGGTGTATAGAGGCGGCATCTTCTGAAAAGTGCGGAGCACCACCAACCCATCAACCATGTGCCATCTCACACGAATACCATGCCTTCTGCCCATGACTGCCGCTCTCCAGCCCAAACCATGCTGCGCATCAAGGATCCCGAGAAGTCCCTCGCATTCTACAAGGACAAGTTTGGTCAGTCAGCTTGTGTATGTGTGTGTGTGTGTGTGTGTCTTTGCATGTACATTTGTACGTGTGTGCGCTCTTTTTTTTTTTCGTTTGTATGTTCATGCACCCACATTGGGCTCACCTGCTACCCTCTTCCCCACCACACGCACGACACTGGACTGCACATGACACCACCACATCACCACGTCCACCACAATAGGCATGTCGCTCGTGCGTGTGAAGCATTTCAGTGACTTCTCACTCTACTTCCTTGCCCATCTTCCCGTCGACACCAAGTACCCCGACCCAGAGTCAGACGAGGTCAGGGTGGTGTGTGTGTTTGTGTCTGTGTCTGTGTGTGCGTGGATGTGTGTGTGTGTGTGAGTACCGATGTGTGTGTGTGTGTGTGTGTGTGTGTAAGTACCGATGTGTGTGTGTGTGTGTGCTTGTGTCTCCATCCTCCCACGTCCTCCCACGTCACCCCTCCTCATGCGACATTCCTCTTCTCCTCACCATTCCACGCAACGCTCAACCCCTTTATATCCGTTGCTGCTGCCCAGGCCAACGAGTTCATCAAGACGTTTGACTTCCCCGTGCTCGAGCTGGTGATGCACCCTCCCACGGCATGCAGCCACACCCACCAACATACACACATGCACTCATGCACACACACGTGCGCATTCACACACAGCACACACACACATGCACATGCACATGCACAAGTCCTGTCGCTTCTGGGACGGGCGTGCTGTTCTCGCGTGGTGCTTGCACGCCACCTCCTGCTGCTCCGGGTGGCGTCACACCTGTGTTACTCGCTCATTTCTGCTGTGACTCATGCGGTGTTGCGCAGACGCACAACCACGGCACGGAGTCCGACCCCAACTTCTCCTACCACAACGGTACATCGCACGCCACTCCGAGTTGCGATGCTGACATGCTGCAATGCCGCAATGCTCAGCCAGCGCGCTTCAGCGTCGGCTTGCCCGTCACACCGCACCGCACCAACCCTTTTCTTTGTTTCGGTATCCAACCGTCGCCACGATTCATTCATACTGCTGCTCAACACCGTGACCACCACTTCTCACCAGTGTCATTTGTCCCCCAACCTCACCCACCATCGTGCTTGCAGGCAACACGGACCCGCGCGGCTTCGGGCACGTTGGATTCCTCGTCGATGATCTCAAGGCAGCCTGCGGTTCGTCGCTCGGTGTCTGTGTGTATGTATGTATGTATGCATGTATGTGTGTGTCTGTCTGTCTGTCTGTATGTATGTATGTATGTATGTATGTATGTATGTATGTATGTATGTATGTATGTATGTATGTATGTATGTATGTATGTATGTATGTATGTATGTATGGATGTATGTATGTATGTATGTATGTATGTATGTATGTATGTATGTATGTATGTATGTGTGTGTGTGTGAGTTTATAGTGAATAATCATCACAATGCCCACGTGAGTCTGCTCCCTCCTGTTTGCTCCAACTCCGGTCTTCGCCAACTCTCCATCGTTCCCCTTCCTGTGCAGATTCGCTGATTGCGGACGGCATTGAGTTCAAGAAAAAGCCCGAGGAAGGAACAATGCGCAACATTGCGTTTGCATACGACCCAGACGGTGCGTGTAACACATGAACAACAACCCTCTCTGCACCTTTGTTTGCCTGATGTGTGTGTTGGTGTTGTGCTGCTTGTTGCTGGCTTCCAATGGGCTGCGAGGTTCCAACGTGCTTGCCCCATTATGTGGAAACGGCCTCACCACATGTCCACTTCACTGGTTGTGTGTGTGTGTGTGTGTGTGTGTGTGTGTGTGTGTGTGTGTGTGTGTGTGTGTGTGTGTGTGTGTGTGACTCTTGTCGATTGGTGCACAGGCTACTGGGTGGAGATTATCCAGCGCGGTGTCACGTTCATGTAATCCGCTGCGGTGTGAACTATTGGTTGCTGTCTCTGCCCACACGCGTACGTGAAATCAACGTGACGCTACACCTCCACGTGAATCTTACACTGAACACTTTCCTTGCCCAATCAAGTGCTTTCTCAACCCCTCCCCTCCTTATCCTTTCTCTCTCTTCCCCCATTCTTCCCCTTTCCTTTTGCCTCTTGCTTGTTGTGGCTGCTCGCTTGATGGGTATGAGGGCAATTACAATTCACGGTATTGTTCGGACAACAACAGCAAGTTAGCAGCCCACACGCACACAACAACACCGCCCAGAGGTAGAAGAGAGGATGATATCGAGAGAAGCAAATCACAGAGAGAGAGAGAGAGAGAAAGAGAGGGGTGCTGAGAGCAAGAGAGGGGTTATGTGAGAGGGAGAAGCAACGGAAAAATGATAACCAGCAAAGCAGCTGGCGGAGTGAAGCACGTTAACAACACGAAGCAACAACAACAACACAACAGCATTCGGCATGAAGAAAACGATAACGCCACCACCGCCCACCCGCACACACGCGAAAAGCCTCAATCATTAGGTCTACATATCAAAGAGTGGCACCACACAAAACAGTTGCCAATGGCACTGCACCACACACACACACACACACACACACACACACACACACACACACACACACACATGCATCAGCAAACAAGAGCACGGCCGCAAGCAAACGAGCGGGGGTGCTGGTTGTCTCAGACGGCGGCGCTCTCGAGGACGGGGTAGACCATGTCGTCGGCAAGCTCCCGCCACAGCTCCGTCACGCGCCCGCTGCACACACCACAGGGACGGATTGGGATGTAGGAGGGAGGGGGGAGGGGCAGGAGAGGAAGGTGATGAGTTTGGAGAATCGCACAACCACACAGCAAGAGCACCGGTCACGCATTTCCTCATACCAATCACACACACAACACGCGCGCGCACACACACAACACGCACACACGCACACACACACACACACACACACACACACACACAGCACCACCACTTATCGGGGAAGAGTGCTCGTACCGGACTTGGTCAATGTCCTTTGGGTGCTGGATGGGCTGGCCAAAACGGATACCGCAGCGAATGCCGCGCATGGGCAGAATCGACATGATGTTGCGGATCGCGTTGTCGCCCTTGGCCACGCCAATCGGGAACGAGTACCTGGTAATTGGGGTGAAGCGGGAGGAAACAGGGGTGGAGAGGGGCGATGGGTGAGGAAGGAGAGGTTGAGTGTTGTGTTGTGTTGCGTTGTGTTGTGGTGTGTTGTGTTGTGGTGTGTTGTCTTGTGTTGTCTTGTGTTGTCTTGTGTTGTGTTGTGCTGGCTTGCTTGCCAACAATCACGCAAAATCAACACGCGGCACTGAACGAATACTCCATACAAAACCGAAGCATGCGCACGACAAAACAACACCACAACAAAAACAAAAACGACATGATGCACGCGTTCTACGCCACACCACACACCACACACCACACCACACATCACACATCACGCCAGGAGAGCGGCGCACCTGAGGGCGACGGGGATGATGGGCACGCCGTTGTCTGCGGCAATCTTGACGGCACCTGGCCGCATCTCGCCCGGCGGGCCAGATCGCTTGGACGTGCCCTCGCTGAACACAACCACAGACTGGCCCTGCCTGAAGGCCTCTGCAATGCGCTCGCGGATGGTGGCGTCCTTGCTCTGGCGGTCGTACCACATGAACCCGCCGCGGCACCACACGCGGAACATAAAGTCGCGCAGCATGCCCTTGGGCATCTCGTCGGCAAGATCCTTCTTGGCGATGATGCGCACGCCGGGGACGGCAGCGTGGATGAGCAGCGCGTCGAGGTACGAGTAGTGGTTGCACACCCACAGCGCGGGCTTGTCCGTGGGCGGCACGGCGCCGCGGATGTGGTGGCGGAAGCGCATGAGCTTGAGGGCGGTGGAGGCATACCACGACGCGTTGGCGTAGAGGTAGTTGTGCACGGCGAAGATGGCAAACATGATGAGGTATCGGACGTATGTGGAGACCATGGGCACGACAGGGAGCATGCGGTAGAGGAAGACAAAGATGTCGCCGTCGCCAATGTACAGCTGCTCGTCCTCGGGCTGCAGCAGGTCGTCCAGATACTGCGCAGCCACGCCCATGCGCGACTTGCGCGTCACCACGTGCTGCACCAGCGCGTTGGCGCCGCCGCCGGCAGCCTTGTTCGAGCCCTTGACAACAAAGTGCACGGGGTCAAACGTGGCCTCTGCGCTCACGCCCATGTCCCGGCGGTGCTTGGCAAGCAGCTCCTGCAAAAACATGGAGTTGGTTGGCGTTTTGTGTTGTGTTTTGGGGGGGGGGAGAGGGGGTGGTGAGCGGGGAGATGAGAACTGCGGAAACAAGAAGTGGAATCAAGACCAGATGCCGCTCAGCATACCTTGTACACACACACACACACACACACACACGCACACACACGCGCACACACACACACGCACGCACACGCACACGCACACGCACACATGCGCACGCAAGGTACATCAAAGAAGTAGCAAGCGTCGTGGTCCACCACACCTTTGCAATATCGTAGTGCCACTTCTCAGGCTTGACGTCAAAGTACAGGTTGGGATAGGACTTGTTGATGGTGTACGAGAACAGCCTGACCGTATGAAAGCGAGCGTTTGGGGTGGGAGGGGAGGCAGCGGTGGTGGAGTGAAGAGAATGGGGGTGAGGGTGAGGAGAGGCATGTAGAGACATCAACAGTGTACGTGGAGCGCCGACACCAATCCCAGAGACAATGCAGCACACACGCACACGCACACACACGCACACACACACGCACGCACACACATACACGCACCTGAAAGCGGAGGACGAGTAGCCAATGTCGCTGATGCGGAAGCGGTAGGCAAACCAGTCAAACATGAGCATGCAAATGTTGAACAGGGAGAGCTTCTGCAGGCCACGCTTCTGGGCGGACTTGGCAATCATGACCAGGCCGAGGTGCACGTTGAGGCGGGACCAGAAGGCCATGTGGAAGCCAACGACCTTGCGCTGCTTCTGGCAGTAAATTTCCAGGATGACCTTGTTGTGCAGCTCTTTGCGCAGCTCTTCGCATGTCTTTGCCATGAGCACGGGGTAGTCGAGCACAGTGTCGATGGAGTCCTTGCACACCGTCTGCAGGTTTGTCTGCAGCTGCTGCAGTGTCTCATCCGACTCCTTCACGGGCGCATACCACCGGCGCACCCACGTCCTGTTGTGCGTGCGTGCGTGTGTGTGTGTGTGTGTGTGTGTGTGTGTGTGTGTGTGTGTGTGTGTGTGGTGTGTGTGTGTGTGTGTGTGTGTGTGTGTGTGTGTGTGTGTGTGTGTGTGTGTGTGTGTGTGTGTGTGTGTGTGTGTGTGTGGAGGAAATGGGACAAGAGTGAGCCATGTGTGACTCTTCAAGGCGGGTGCCAAGGAAAGAGAGGCAAAGCAAGCCGCTGGATACGAACACCGCAGGGAGGGACGCAATGCAGCAGCAGTCGCACAGCAGCAGCAACAGTGTCAGGTAGATGACCAACAGTGTTGCACCCACCCGTTGCCGAATGGGATCCACACGCCATGGCGCAGGCACCATCGGAGAACGATGAAGCCAATGAAGCTAATGGCCACCAACGCAAGAGCCAGCATGGTCGGTTGGTTGGTTGCTGTGTTGTTTGTTGACAGCTGTTACGAGCAATCACAATTGGAATCTGGCGGATGGGGGGTGGGGGGAAAACAGTGTGATGATGCGGTGATGTGTGATGGTGTTTGTGTGTGTCCGTGAGCTGCTGCACAATCAAATGAGCACAACACGAAAGAAGAACAAAGAGACGCTTGGAATGCTGGCGTGTGCCATCTCTTGCCGAGAGCGATCCTCTTTCCTTTGCTCTGGGATCGATCCTGCCACCGCCTCATCACGCAGCTGTCGCACACCGCACACCGCACACCACGCAGGAGCAGCGCCACACACACACACACACACAAACACAACACCCATCATCACCACCAACCAGCAAAGCCCCACCTTCTGCCAGCTTTGGCTTGGTTGATCTAAATGCGCACTGGCGCCATCAAGCGGAGAATGTGTGCGAAACATGACTCGTGCAGCAGTATCCACCCCAACGCAACGACAAGCGCTCACAACAGCACAAATTGGGGTCTCGCACGTGGCTGAGAGGTTTGAGGACTGCGCTTGCGACTGCACACATCTCAACACACACACACCAACACACACACACACACACACACACACACAATCAACATGCCAAAGCACGCGAAGAGTAAGGCGCGCGGGCACACGGCTGCGGCGTCGGGCCCAGCGTCTGGGTACAGGCGCACTGGTGTGCTGTTCAACAAGGATTTCGGGCAACATATCTTGAAGAACCCGCTCGTGGTCACGGGCATCATTGACAAGGCCAACATTCGCAGCTCAGACACCGTCCTGGAGATTGGTCCAGGTACCGGAAACCTCACCATCAAGCTCCTCGAAAAGGCCGGCAAGGTTTGTGTGTGTGTGTGTGTGTGTGTGTGTGTGTGTGTGTGTGTGTGTGTGTGTGTGCGTGTGTGTGTGTGTGTGTGTGTGTGTGTGTGTGTGTGTGTGTGTGTGTGTGTGTGCGTGTGCGTGTGTGTGCGTGCGTGCGTGTGTGTGTGTGGATGTGTGTGGATGTGTGTGTGCGTGTGGTATGTGTGTGGTGTGGATGTGGGTATATGTGTGCGTGTGTGTGTGCGTACCCAAGCCGCGTGTACAAGTGTGCATGGTCCTGAGTGCTCACGCTAGTTGTCCATCCACTGCAGCTGATCGCATACGAGGTTGACTCGCGACTCGCAGACGAACTTGTCAAGCGCGTCAGCAAGACGTCAGTCCACCCTGCGTTTGCGTGCACATGTGCTGCGACGTGTGCGATCCTTTCGTAGTGCAGCCATGTGGCCTCACCGTTTGTGATGCCACCTGTTTTTTTGCTTGCATTGCATCTTCTTTGAGCAGCATGTACAAATCAAAGCTGCACCTCGTCTTGGGTGATGCCATCAAGAACCCGCTGCCAGCGTTTGACGTCTGTGTCGCCAACATGCCTTATCAAGTCAGTCCCCGCAAATACGCTCGATGGGCGTTTCTTGTCTCTCCCTCATGTAGCACGACTCTTGTTGCTGTTGCCACTGTCACCACAACCATCGTTGTCGTTCCCCTTATCATTCTCACGCTGCCGCTGCCACGGTGACAACAGATTTCATCTCCATTTGTGTTCAAGATCCTGAAACACCGGCCGCTCTTCCGCTGCGCCGTCCTCATGTTCCAGCGCGAATTCGCCCTTCGCCTTGGTCAGCAGCGTGTGGCTGTGTGTGTGTGTGTGTGTGTGTGAATGTATGCGTCTGTGTGTGTGTGTTCTTCTTGTATCTATGTGTCTGTGTATGTCTGTGTATGTCTATGCGTCTGCCTGTCTCTCTCGCTCTCTCGCTCTCTCTCTCTCTCTCTCGCTCTCTCTCTCTCTCTCTCGCTCTCTCGCTCTCTCTGTACTCTCTCGCTCTCTCTGTACTCTCTCGCTCTCTGTGCCTGTGCCTGTGTATCTGTTTGTCTGTCCATCTGTGTCTTTTCTTTGTGTTTCTGGAGCAAAACACCTCTCTTTCTCCTCCTCCTCCTCCTCCTCCTCCTCCTCCTCCTCCTCCTCCTCCTCCTCCTCTTTGCCCTCCTCCCTGCTCTTTCGTCTCATACATCTCCTCCTTGCTGCATGCGCAAACCTCGCAACCCTCTGCTCCTCATTGTCCTGCAGTGGCGAAACCTGGCGAGGAGCACTACTGCCGCCTGTCCGTCAATGCACAACTCCTCTCAAACATTGAACACGTCATGAAGGTTCGTTGGCGCTCCCCCACTCACACTCGCATTGCATAAACCGTGTCGAGCTGCTCCGTGATTGTGCAGGCGCCGTGTGAAACCGCGTGCTTCGCAACGATGTTAGCTCCCCTTTCTTTTCCTGCATGCATATGGCCTTTGATATCTTCGTCTCTGATCTGCCCCCTCTTCGTCTGCGTGGACCCCTCCCCCTTCATGCCCCTGCGCGTGGTGTGATGCTACTGCTGCCAGGTCTCCAAGAACAACTTTCGCCCGCCGCCAAAAGTGGAGTCGTCCGTCGTGCGCATCGTTCCCCACAGACCCGCACCAGACGTCGACCTCAGCGTCAGTACGCCATGCGGCGTGGCGCGTGTCTTGTCTGGCACGCATCTGCGCGCGTGCATGTCTTGGATCTGTCTGCCTGTGGTCGTGGCCTGCGGCTGCATGTCACTCCATCATTTCCCATCACAACTGCTGCTCGCATCCGCCTCACCTCCCCTTGCATCGCTCCCTTGTCCCGCCCCCAACATACACACGGCTCGCTCCAACACTCAATACACAATGCACGACCACATCCTCCCAACTCTCCCCATCCTCCACTGCAGGAGTTTGATGGACTGCTCCGCATTGCATTTGAGCGGAAGAACAGGACGCTCGCTGCGGCATTCAAGAAGAAGGTGAGCGCCTGCATCTTCGTGGGTGCTCACCGCTATGCTGTCGCTGATTTGGCTGTTGGCAAGCGTTCGCCTTTCATTGCTCACCACCACCAACAACAACAACAACAACAACAACAACAACAACAACAACAACAACAACAACAACAACAACAACAACAACAACACGCATGTCATCACTCCCACCACAATTGTCACCGCCAATGCCACTCACCACCTCGTCGTCATCGCCATGTAGGGTGTGGTTGCGCTGCTGCTGCAGAACTTCAAGCAGCTTGGCGGGGAGCCACCGGAGGACTTTAAGCAGTTTATTGTCGACGTCTTGACTGAGTCTGACTACGCCAGCAAGCGCCCGCAACAGCTCGCAGTCGCAGATTTCCTGAGGTGTGTTTGTGTGTGTCTCTGTGTGTCTCTGTGTGGCTGTGTGTGGCTGTGTATGTGTCTGAATGCGTGTGTAAAGTGTCTGTGCGTGTGGTTCTGTTTGTGTCTGTATGTGTGTATATATATATATATATATATATATATATATATACACATATATATGTGTGTGTGTGTGTGTGTATGTCTCGTGCTTGTGTTTGTGTGTATGTTTGTTTCTAGTATGATTGCTTCAGCCCATCACTCACGTACTGCATGCATGCCTGAACGGGCAGGCTGTTGAAGGCCTTCAACGATGCCGGCATTCACTTCCGCGGATCCATCTAACCACCCCCCCCCCCCCACTTCTGATGTGATGTGAACACATGTTTGTTGGCCACACAACATGTTGTTTTTTTGTTACAAACACTCGCACGCACCCTTACTGTATCTGCTCTTCGCGTCCTCCCCTCCTCTCTCCGTTTTCTTCCTTCGTGCTGCTTTGCATATCCGCTCTCTCTCTCTCTCCACCTCCAACTTGGTCCAAGCCTCCCTCTGTACAAAATGGCGCTACTGGCGAGAACGAGTAGACGATTCTTTGGCACTTCAGATGCTGCCACTCGGATTGTAATTGCACACACACACACACACACACACACACACACACACACACACACACACAAGAATGCACGCACACACACCAAGGCACACAACAAATCACAAAGCACAACACGGTTCAGTGATGTGACAAGTGTTGTAGTACTTGACGCGAACAGCAAGCGAGAAGCAGGGCAAGTGGAATGCTTGCAGGCACAAACACAGTGATACGCTGATCCCTTCTCAGAGGTGAAGCTCTCCCTGGAACAGCTTCTTGTCGGATGAACAGGACACAACTGTGGTTTCATGGGTGGTAGTGGTGATGGTATGAGTGGTGAGAATATGGTTAGTTCAAACACAACAAAAGTGTGGCGTACAAGACATAATGCCGCCGGTGACCACAATGCAAATGAACGCGACGTCAAAGAAATGTGAAGCAAGTAAATGCACAGCAGCCATACAACAAAACGACACTACAAACAGGACATGTACACACATACATACATACATACATACATACATACATACATACATACATACATACATACATACATACATACATACATACATACATACATACATACATACATACATACATACAGACAGACAGACAGACAGACAGACAGACAGACACACATACATACATACATACACACACACACACAGTGCTGGGCGCTCACCGATGGGCTCCTCTGGGTGGAAGTCGACCTGGTTGACGCAGCTCTTGTGTCCAGGCAGACAGTACGCAATCTTCTGCGAGAACACGTTCCACACATACACGTTGCGGTCGCCAGAGCCGCAGCCAACGTGCTTACCATCGGGCGTCCACGCGCACTGCACATGTGTTGCGTCGTGCATTGGTTTGGTTAGTTGGTTTGGTTTGGTCAAGCGAGAAACGCACCGCAGAGACAGACAGAGAGACAGAGAGACAGAGAGACAGCCGCGCGCGCACACACACACACACACACTGCGCACCTTGATGAAGTTCTTTTCGAGGCCGACCTGTGCGCCCATGAGTGTCTTCTTGAGGCGCGGGCCCTGGGCAAACGGCTGCACGTCCCAGATGCGCGCAGTGTTGTCCATAGCAAACGACAGCACCTCCTTCCCGTTGGGCGACAGCGACAGGCCCGTCACCGTGTCTGCTCGCACGGTTGTCGCCATGGTGGTCATGGTAAGTGAGTGGGTGAGCGGGTGGGTGAGCGGATGAGTGAGTGAGCGAGTGATAGTGGAAAAAGGAAAGCAAAGAGGTGGTGACCATGGTGGTGGTTGTTGGCAAGTTGAGTGCTCTCCTGCTGTAAAAGAGTGTGGATGTGCTGCAGCAACAGGGACACGTGCTCGCACCTGTGTGGCCAGCAAGGCGCTCAGTCACATCCATGGTGCGCAGATCCCACATCTGTTTTGCAACAAGTGGCAGCAACAGTGGTCCGGGAGGGAGGAAGAGAGGAAGTCCAGTGTGAGAGAAATTAGGCAGGTGGGCGGCGGCAAAACCGCTCGCGAGACGCACGCGATGAGCAATTGTGTTCACCATGTCACAAGCATGCAAACAATGGTTACACACACACATACACATAAACACACAAACACACACACACACACACAAACACACACACACACACAAACACATGCACATGCACGCACACACACACACACACAAACACATACAACCACACACACACACACACACACACAAATACATACAACCACACACACACACACATGACGGACCTTGATTGCGTTGTCGAGGCCTGCGGAGATGATGCGCTCGCCATCATCGGCCATGACCACCGCCATCACCTGATATCCGCTGTTGAGCGTGTGCACAGCGCCCCGCCGCCGCGCATCCCACACCTGCACAGCAGGTAAGCGGATAAGGGTGATATGGGTGATAAGGGTGATAAGGGTGGTGTGGGAAGACGTTGTCGGGTGGGAAGGGGGCGGTGATGTGGTGGTGTGACAAGGCAAAGGGCGATGCACTTGATAGTCAGCGAAACGGTGTGGTGCCCTGGAGCAGACAGCCACTCTCCCCATCAACGACCATCAGACACGCGAGCACTTACACGGACGGTGCCGTCGTCGCTGCCGGTGACAAACGTGTGTGCGTCGTGGCGGGAAGCGCAGCAGCTGTTCACAAAGTCCGAGTGGCCCTTGAGCTTGCGTACGCGCGCACCAGCCTGTGCGCGATGTGGTGAAGAGAACAGGTTGCACGGTAGGGGATGATGCAAGTCAACAAATGCAACCTGGCGTGCACTCCACAACGTGGCCGGTTCCCACAGAAGAATACGCCACCAAGCAACAAGCGCAGATATAAAGAAGCACACCAATAATGAAGCACGCACACACACACACACACGCACACACGCACACACGCACACACGCACATGTACATACCTCGGCGTCCCACACAATGCAGGTCTTGTCGATGCCCGCGGAGTAGAGTTTGCTGTTGCATGAAAAAAGACCGGCAAACAAGGTCACAACCCCGTCAGGGAGGTACAACATAAAGGCACGCACACATGTGCATGCACACAAAACCACGCACAAGCACAAGCGTGCTCTGGTTCGAGGGAGGAAGGAGACCCAATAGCACAACCACTTTGAACGCACGAGTGCACCCTCCTTCTGTATGACATGCACAAGCACGAGCAGACGCACGCATGCACGAGCAACTTCAAGCACACACGAGCAAAGGTAAGCACTTACTCTCCATCCTTTGACCAGGAAAGGTCAAACACGGCACCAGTGTGTCCAGGAAGAACAGCAAAGTTCTCGCACTCCCCAAATGTGTTCCACAAAACTGGCATAAGTGTGTGTGTGTGTGTGTGTGTGTGTGTGTGTGTGTGTATGTGTGCATGTGTGTATGTGTGTGTGAGTGTGTGTGGCGCGAGATATGAACGCACGTGAGTGCAAGGCGTCAAGCTGCTGTGATGGAGGTTTGGGTCAGGTTCGCGGCCTTGGTGGCATCCGCAACGGCAAAGTGGCGTGTACTCACAGATTTGTCGATCCATGCCAGCAGAGGCGATGTGCGATCCGCTGGGGTTGTACTTGCACGTAAACACCTCATCCTGCAACGGAAAGTACCATGAGCAAAAGGACACACGAGACACACCACATCCAAATCGTATGCGGGCTCGTGCGTGCACATGCACATGTGCAGGATCTATGCACACCCACACACACGCACACACGCACACACACACACACGCACACAACAGCACATGCGTTCTTACCTTGTGACCTTCCAATAGCATCACGGGTGCCATCAAACTGGACGTCCGTGCTGGCGCCTGTTGGTGCAGCAACAGTGTGTGTGTGTGTGTGTGTGTGTGTGTGTGTGTGTGTGTGTGTGTGTGTGTGTGTGTGTGTGTGTGTGTGTGCGTGTGTGAGCTGACGAGTGTGAACATATACTCAAGCCATCACACTCACCCACCCACCCATTCACATACACACCTGCACAGCCGCATCACACCCAAACATACACATACACACACACACATCACACACGCATCACACCCGCACAGCCGCATCACACCCAAACATACACATACACACACACATCACACACGCATGACACACGCATCAAGCGCACCGCAGCCTGTATCGCGCCCGAGGACGATTGGGTGGCAAGTTGCTTGTTGCTGCTGCTTGATCCATCTTGCTTGGCCTTTTTCACAGGCACAAGCGCCGACGACGCTTCGTCGGCAAGACGTTTGGACCCTTCCATGATCTCAAGTGCTTTTCTCTCACGCAGCAGTCCCTTGCCCACAACAAGCTCAGTTCACTCTGAGCTCGAGTCCAGTACAGCAGCACAGCAGCACGTCCTGTCTCACTCACCCTCGCTGTTCGCTCGCACAAGAACCACTGGTGGTGAATCGTCAGCAAAAAAATACTGCTGACATGCCCAAATGCCATTTTTCTTGCAGCGTTGCCCCTCGCGCGGGAACCCCTTGCTGTACTTCTGCTTCTCGTGTGCACGCGAATTGAGTGAGGACCTGGTGACCCAATGTGGACAACAGCGCCCCGCCCCACTAGCCACAGCTGCGCATGCCGTGCAGGGAGCCCTGCTTGTTGGTAAACATCAGCCAGCTCCAGGGCTCCTCCTCTCTGGCACTTGAAAGGCAAGCATGCAAGAAACAGCAATTGGCGCCATTGCGTGTTGTTTCCGCGTTTCTGCGCGGGAAAACCCTCATTGGGTTTGTTTGTTGTTTATTTTGATGACAGAGCATTGCATGAAGGTATTTTTTTTCCCCATGCGGCAAGTCCAAACTTGCTTGTTTGCTTCGCGCGGCTGCCTTGACTTGTTCGCCATTTTCTGTTTTTGTCCATCCGCTCCACTCGCCTTCCTGCTGCGAACGTACGTTCACCTGCACACACCACCAACACACAAGCCCGGCACCTTTCCTGTTTTGGCGGCTGTCGTGGGCCTTTCCCGCCCCACCACACATATTTCCTCATCATCTCCCCCGACCTTCCAATCGCATGATCTGACAGACACGCTACCCTCCCTTGGTTGCCGCTGTTGTTACAGTCACTTGCACACCTTCCTGTTCCATCATGGACGCCGACCCAACAATCACTTTCACTCCATATTACTTTTCCGAGGTATGTCACGACGTTGTTGTTGTTGTTGTTGTTGGTTGGTGTTGTTGTTGTTGTTGTTGTTGTTGTTGTTGTTGTTGTTGTTGTTGTTGTTGTTGTTGTTGTTGTTGCTGTTGTTGTTGTTGTTGTTGTTGTTGTTGTTGTTGCTGTTGCTGCTGTTGTTCTCTCTCTCTCTCTCTCTCTCTCTCTCTCTCTCTCTCTCTCTCTCTCTCTCTCTCTCTCTCTCTCTCTCTCGTTGTTGCTCGCTTTCCAACTGCAGTCATGTTTGCATGCCACGTTTGGATGATCCCACCTTCCTCATTGCTCCCCCCCCACCCACACACACACATACATACATGCATGCGTGCGCGCTTTTTTTTTTTTTGGCAGGAGCTGAAGAAGACAAGGGCATATGTGGCGGTCAAGGTGGACTGGCCTGAGGGCAGGGCTGCACCTGTGGATTCAATGCTCTACATCCGCGCGTACGAAGGCACCTCCATCGTCCATCTCCCGGGCTCCCCTGCCTGGAAGCGCGTGAGTTGGGGCGAGCACACTGCTGTGCGGCTGAGGGCCCGCGGCGTGGATGGCGTGGACCTGCGCCTCCACCAACAGCCGGGCGTGAACAGGCCCATCTTGATTGGTGTGGAGCTTGCAGCAGTCACCCCTGCGCCCAACCAAGACCCCATCAGGCAGCCCTGCCTGCGCTGCTGGGTGTCTTGGCCCGCGAGGCGCGGCAAGCACCGTCGCACACGCCGAGGCCGCAAGTTCACCGTCCTGCGCAGCGCCAAGCCAGACCGCCGCACCAACGAAGGCATGCCCCGTCTCGTGGACGCCCGAAGCGAGCGCGACGTGTTGCGCTGCGGGGGAACAGGGCTGAGCTCAGTGCATAATCTGTTTCGGGCAATCAAGCCTTGCTTCAGCAGATGGCCTACGTTCCAGCCTGCCGGTGCTTCCGAGGATGATGCTGAGGATGACGATGCTGACGCTGACCACGATAATTACAAAGTCGAGGGCCAGGCCGCAAGCAACCAGCCCAGGGCACGATTTCCCGCACTTCATGGCCAAGGCGGAGTCGGCGATGACGCTCCGGACATGGCGTCCCTGCACGGGGTGCCAAGCACTGTCGAGCGTGGACACGAGGATGCCAACCCTGGCCACATCGCCGGTGCTGATGTGCAGCATGGTCACAGCGATGGACTCGGGCGCAACGACACGGTTAGCAGTGGCAGCGGCCAACACCACAGCAGCAGCCGTCCATCAGAGGTTGCCCTCAGCAAGACTTCGTTTCTTCGCATGGACGAGGCTCAGCTGCATCGCGTCGTGGCCGAAATTGGCGGCAGCAGCAGCAGCAGCGATGAGGAGGTGACGGTCGACGCGGTCATGGCGTCCTTGCTGCAGTGTGGGCCACCGCTCGCTGCACAGGGTACCACCAGCACGCGGCGGCGGCGACAGCGCCGACAGCGAGGACAGCGAGGACACCAACAGCGGCGCAGGTCGCTCCCTGTTGACGAGGGCGTGTCGGTCTCCGTGGATGTGAGATCATGGCCGAGTACTGGCGTGCAGGATGCACGCCCTCCCTCAGTGACGGATAGGGCGCCAACAGTGACAGAGTCAGAGGCCGTTGATGCGCCACCCCGTGCCGTTGCCCGCGCCTCCCCCTCTGAGCTTGAAATGCTGGACCTTGCCGCTGGGCGTCTTTGCTTTACAAGCACCTCCGTGGAGCGTGTGGACAGCGGCCTGTGCCAACACGCTGGTCATCATGGCCGCCACCGGGGCACTCACGCCTGTGCCGGCGATGCTGCTGCTGCTGATGATGATGATGATGACGATGATGATGATGATGATGATGATGATGATGCTGCTGCTGCTGATGATGATGATGATGATGATGATGATGATGATGATGATAGTAACGAGGAGGAGGAGGAGGACAACGACAACGACAACGACAACGACAACAACGATAATGGTGATGGCGAGGAGGGTGAGGACGCTCTTGGTGCTTGGCGTGCCAGCGCCAGAGCCGGCAGCACCAGCAGCGGTGCTGTTACCCTCATCGCCAACCTAGGCCAGGCACATCGAGGTCTAAACGACGAAAACGACACCAAAAGCAGCCAGCACGATGATGGTCACAACTGCCAACAGCAGAAACGGAAGAAACGAAAGGACAAGAAGCAGCAACAACACAGTGATGACGAAGCTGAGGAGAAAGGGGAGCAGTCGCAAATCCATCTCCGTCTTCGCCGGCCACGTCCAGTCTATGCTGTTTCTTCTCTTTCAGTGGTTTCCCCACACCGCCAGTGACGTGAAAGGAAAGCAGCGAAGCAATGAGAGAGATGCGTGGGTGTGAACTGTGTTTCCCGTGTGCGTGTGTGTGTGGGTGTGGGTGCGTGGGTGTTTGCTGTGCGAACTGATTCCATTTGAGCCTTAACAGCTGATGACACTTGTTTTACATTCCTTATATGCGGCCCTAAGCAAGAGAGAGAGAGAGAGTGTGTGTGTGTGTGTGTGTGTTGTGTGTTGTGTTGTGTGTTGTCGGCTGGAGCTGCTGTTGCTTCCACAGCACGGTTCTCTTCTGTTCCTTTGTTTTCTCTGTTCTGTTTTCAGCAGTGCAGTGTCCTGGGCCCCTGCATCGTGCAAGGCTCAGCTCACTCGAAATACACACGCATACACAACTGGTGAGAGAGAATAGGGGGCCTGAAGAAAAGGTGGCAGCAGCAAGAGAAGAGCAGCATCAACAACAACGAAAACGAGGTTTGTATGCTCGGGCAGCGCAGCCAATTTCACTGCGAATTGTGCTGTTGTTTTCGAAATCTCATTTTGTGTGGTGCAAAGCGCAACGCCCAGGCTGCTTGCAAAAAAAAATTAATTTGCCGATTGCTTCTTGCTGCTTGTTGCTTGCTTGCTCGCTTGTGATTGGAGCGGTTGCTTTCCCAACAACACACACGGCGCATGAAACACGCAGTCCTCGCTGTGCTTCTCTTCGCCTCTTCTTGTTGCTCGTGTGTGTCACTCTCCAGAAGCATCAGCACCAACCAGCCAGCCTTCGTGCTTTCGTACCTCATCTCTTCCAGGCCGGTTGGTGTTGCTCGTGGCCAACAGCGCAGTACCACCACCACTGCTACCACGCGGCTCACTGATTTGCCTGCCAGCCAACACTGCGGCGGTGGGTGATCAGCAATACATACCAGCAGATATATTCAGCAGCACCTCTGCCTTCATTTTCTTCCCTTCCATAATCTGGCCGTGCTCTCGTCTCTCCAAGACCCAACACAGACGCACACAACACCCGGCGTTGTTCCTGTTGTGTGTCTCGAAGCGTGTGAAGGAGACGTCACAGTCAAGCAGACACACACACACACACAAGAACTCGTCCCTGCGTCGTTGACACCAAGCGCCACCGCCGTTGATCGCTCTTGCTGCGTCACTCAAAGCAGCCACAAGCACAAGCATCTCAACCAGGTTTGGAGCCTGCAGTTAGAGCCATGCCACACACGCATACTTACTTGCATATATCACCCCCAGTGCAATAGAGACAAGAGAACAATCACCCTCTTGTTCTCCTCCTTCTCCACAACACACGCACACGCAAACACGCAACACACACGCACACGCACACGCAAACACACACACACACATGATCCATCACTGCCGTGTCCTTGTGTCAGGTGCCCGGTTGGTTGGTTGGTTGGTTGGGTCATTGTTCACCACCACCGCACGCATGTGTGTATGTGTGCAACCACACTCCACAGTCTCGCACTTTTCACACTTTCTTTCGTTTTCTCCTCGCCACTTACACCCTTTCCCCCCCCCACCACACTCTACGCCTACACACCAACGTCAACCATGACAGCCAACACAGCCATGGCGTCCCTCGACCCATCTGAACCAAGGCCACCACCTCTAGGCGGAGGCACAGCCACCGCCACCACCACAGCCACAGCAGCAACGCCGGGCGTGACTGTGCGCGATACCAAGACCCCCATGACCCCCATCAACATCACCCCCACCACCGTCAACACGGGCAACACCACCAACACAAGCACAGGCCGCGCCTACAAGAGGCACTCCAGGACCAAGGCAACAAGCCCGCTGGCAAAAACAAGTGAGACGGCACACGATACGCCGCCCTTTGCCGCGCGCACCTCTTCCTCTTGCTCCTCATCTTCGTCCTCTTCATCGTCGGTCTCCTCGTCACAGGAGTCGTCACAGGAGTCGCCACAGCAGTCACCGACGTTCGCGCCGACGGCGCTGCCGACTGCCACCCCGCGCCTGCACCACCACGCGCACTGCTTGAATCGGCGCCACCGCCACCGCGGCCGTCGCAGCTCATCATCATCAACAGCGACCACCACCACTATCACCACCGCCCACCACAGCAGCATTGTTCCCAGGCCAACCAGGCCCACAACCGCACAATCATCGTCATCGTCATCGTCATCATCACAGCCACTCCGCGTGCCGGACGGACCGCCACCACCCAACATCGCCAAGCTCCTCAAGCTCTCCGGCAAGAGCGAAGACGAAGTGGCGGAAGCCCTCGGCATTGACCACGTCGCCATGCACAACGTGGTGGTGCGTTTTTCTCTGCCCGTGCTTGCATGCACACACACGCACACACGCACACACGCACACACACACACGCACACACGCACACACACACATGCTCGCTTTGCATGCACACATGTCTTCATGCACGCATCTTTGCACACGCACAATCGCGAATACACCATTTCCTTTGTCTCACCCCCACCACACACACACACACCTTCCTTGCCTTCACAACATGTTTGCGCCACACCATGCAGCACAACCGCGTACCGGCCATCGGCCGCTGGGCGCCCGTGTTTGCAAAATGCACCTTGCTTGCACGCATGGGCCTCCTCAAGCTGCTCGGCTACAGCACAACAGCAGCCCCTCCTGCAGGGACCACAACGACTTGTGCTGACACGCAGCGGGACAGTGCCCCAACCATCAGCCCGTCATCGTCAACCACGTCCACGTGCTCGACGTGCACTACGGCTTCCATATCGCCATCATCATCATCCGATTCACTCTCCCCGCTGCCGTCTCCATCCACCTCCGCGTGCACATCCACATCGGGCTCGTGCACATTGCTCATGCCGTCACCAACTGCCGTTGCTGCTGGCGGTCATGGTGCTGATGGTGATGTTGATGGTGGTGCGGTTTTCACAGCTGCGACCCCACCACACCAGGACCAGCACGTGGCGCCGCCCTCCCCTGCATGCGACGCTGACAAGGAGGCGCGCGTCACACTGGTTGGCGGCAGCGACGGCACCCCTACGCGGGCCATGTCGACACAGAGGAGGCAGCTGCTGTCAAGCACGCTGACGTGCAGGTGCATTGCACAGCTGCAGGGCACGGCCGACAACGACACACCAGCGGCAAGCGCGCTGCAGGAACGAGCAGCACAAGAAACGCGCCATCCAACGCATGGGGAGAGGAAGCACGCCCACGAATTGGCTCCACAGACCAGCACGGTGCAGACAGCTCACTCACAGCAGGGGCAGGAAACGCCAGCGCACCGCCCTCACGAAGCAACACCCTCGCACAAGGACGCGCAACAACAGCAAGAGGAGCAACAGCAGCAGCAGCAAGGGCAAGAAGAACAGCAGGAACAACAACAACAACAACAACAACAACAACAACAACAGCAACAGCAAGAAGAACAGCAGCAGCAAGGGCAAGAAGAAGAAGCACAACAACAACAACAACAACAACAACAGCAGCAGCACGAAGAACAACAACAGCAGCAGCAGCAGCAGCAGCAAGGGCAAGAAGCGACGGCGATGGTGCGCCCGGCGTCAAACCACCGCCGCAAGCTGAGCGATGAGGTGCAGGCGCTGCGCCGTGCAGACCCAAAGCCTGTTGGCCGTCGCATCTTCGAGTACCTTAGCGCACGCGGTGATAACATTGTCAACCAGTGCAAGCAGTGCCTGATGCAAGGCTGGCGCGGCTGGGAGCAGCACAAACTCTCTGAGGAGCAGGTGAACGAGTTCTTTGCCGGAAACTGTAAGGAGGCCGAGGCTGTGGCCGACTTTCTCTTGCAACTGGGTCTCGCCACAGATGTGCGCACCCTCTTCTCCCTCTTCACCAGATAGCGTCATCCACACATTTAACCGCGCACCGCTCCACCTAAGTGCATCGTTATTCGCGCCGTGCATGTGCGTGTTGCGCGTGCGTCCAGTCGCTGAGAGAGTGCGCTGCCGTGACCATTGCTGTTTCTTTGGTGACGTGCGACATGTGATATGTGACTTCTTCACGTGCATCGTTTATTTTCGTGTGTGCTTGCGTGCTTGCATGCATGCATGTGCTTGTGCCCCGCCCCAATTTGTTATCGTATTTCTCGTCTCTGTTCTTCCCATGCTTGCTCTATCGCGTCACCTTCCGTTGCCTTTATATTGACGGCGGGCGGTGTTTTGGCCCGGTGTGCTTGAAACATGTGGGGCGCTTGCCACGCCAATACACACGATGGTTGCGCGACACGTGCGGCGTTCGCGTCGTGTCAAGAGAGACAAGGACACACACACACACACACACACACACACACACACACACACACACACACACACACACACACACACACACACACACACACACACACACACACACACACACACACACACACACACACACACACACACACACACACAAGAGTCATGATGGTGATTTGACTGAATTCAGCGCGCGAGGAGGTTCAGCTCATCCACGTTGCGCACAACCTGCCGTATGGCAACTGAGCACGAGGCCGTTTGAGTGCAATGACGCCAACAAGGGGCGCATTCTGTTTGACGACGAGCACACACGCGTGGTGATGTGCGACGGCTCGGAGTTTGTGTCCATCACCACGCGTGGGTGCGAGGCGCAGGACCGCGGCCACAGCCAGGACTGCGCGGCGCCGTCGTGTGCGAGCATCAAGAAGGTTTCACCGGATGCGTCGTCCGGTATGTACTACGTCGGGACAGTGGAGCCCGTGCCGCTGGTCTACTGCGACATGCGCAACAAGATCAGCCGCGGTGGAAACGGCACGCGCAGCAACCCTGGGTCAGACTGCTTCACCCTCAAGTCGCTGTTCAACATGCCCACGGGCACATACTGGCTGGACACGCCAACGGGCCTGGTGCAGGCATACTGCGACATGGACACAGACGGCGGTGGCTGGCAGCTGGTGTGGCTGCACGAGTACCTGCACACGCTCAGCCCTGGTGGTGACATGGCATTCTACAGCCAGGCATCGCAGCCGTGCACGGGCCTGGACCTGTCGTGGTGCAACACGCCGTCCAAGACGCAGCAGCGCGCGGTGGAGCAGATGACGGCTGCCTACCACAACGGCGCACTTCAGTACGCGTACAAGGCGCACTTCAACGGCCTGCTCGACACGGACTATCTTGGCGGCATCCTGCACTCGCCCAGCACGAAACTTGTGGACAGGTGCACCTCCGGGAATGGCATTCCACCCGAGCCCGTCTCTCCAGATCAGACCGATTACGCAATTGGTGGCATCACCTTTGACAAGGCAAACGCCCAGAAGTACAATGGGTGCGTTGACGTTTGCGTGTGCGTGCTTGTGTGTTTGTATGTGTGTGTGTGCGTGTGCATGTGCGTGTGTGTGTGTGTGTGGGTGTGTGTGTGTGCGTGTGCGTGTGTGCGTGTGCGTGTGCGTGTGCGTGTGGGTGGGTGTGGGGGTGGGTGTGTGGGTGTAGGTATGCGTGTTTGTGTCTTGTATGTGTATATGTGTGTGTGTTTGTCTGCCTGTGTGTGCGTGCGTGCGTGTGTGTGCGTGCGTGCGTGTGTGTGTATGTTTGTCTGCCTGTTTGTCTGCCTGTTTGTCTGCCTGTTTGTCTGCCTGTGCGTGTGTGTGTGTGTGTGTGTGCGTGCGTGTGTGTGTGTTTTGCTCGTTAACCTTTTGAAGCCTGAGAAAGCCTGCTTGCGTTGCTCCTCCTTCCATCACCATGCCTGCTCACACACACACACACACACACGTGTCCACCGCACAGCAACTGCGACACGGACCGGTACCGCCAGAGCAGCGGCCAGGACTGCCGCTGGGAAAACTGCGCCCCGCCAACCGGAAACCACAACCAGATGACGCTTGCCATCTTCATCCGTTGATCCTCTTTGTTCTTCCCCCCCCCCCCTCTGCCTTTCTCCTTGCTTGTCTTTTGTTGGGGTTCCTTCCTCACTGCTTGTGGCCTCGTTCCCCCTCCCCTTCCCCTCTCCTTCTCCTTTCCCCCCTTTCACCCCTCTTCCTCCTTTTTCAACTTTTCTGCCCTCGTGCTTTGAAACACGCACGGCCGCGTGTCGTTTGCTGTTGCCTGCAGCTACGTTTGTTTCTCACGCATGGTTTTCCTATGCTGACAACCTGTTGTTTTTGCTTGCTTGTTGCTTGCTTGCCACTTTCCGTGATTGACCATGCGTGTTGTTTTGTTGTTGTTTTGACTGCACGCTGTGCCCCCATCACCTGTTTCCGTTATCCATCCCCGATGGCCTTGCTTCTTCGTTTGCGTGCCGTGCATGGCTGACTCCCCCCCCCCCCTGAAGCCCAAAACTTGCGCTGTTCCTTGATTGATGACGATTTCAATGAAACCAACACACAGCCCACAGTATGAGCCAGCGTGAGCACATAAGGGGCCACGCAACAAGTGTGTGTGTGTGTGTGTGTGTGTGTGTGTGTGTGTTGACGGGTGCAAGAGCCACAACAACGAGATGCTCGGTTGGCTGCGGTGCGTATCTTGCTGCGTTGTTCGAGTGGTTCTATGGTCTTATGGTTGATGTCATCACAGACGTGGGCTGTATAAATGCTACGACTATTTGTGGAACGTGTGCGCTTGTAACTTGGCACTGCCAACGGCCAAAACAAACGCGCATGCACACGTGCCCTTCAACCCTTCAATCTTCCCCGCTTGCTCCCACCACACACACACAAACACACACACGCACACACACACAAACACACACACGCACACACACGCACGCACGCACGCACGCACACAAACACACAAACACTCATAATACAATACAAACGACTTAGATGAAAGTCTGTCCAAGTTCATCGGTTGCGATGGTCTTGACGACGTCACTGGCTCGTAGCGACTGCCGCCGACGGAGTGTCCAATTCGTAACTTCCGGCGCCCGGTGCTGCGGTGCCAACCGTGTTGTGCTCTCCGCTGCTGGTGCCTGGCCTTCGTGTTGTTGACCGCGCACACCTGTCAAGGACACACCCTGCTCGCCTGCCCTTGCATCATGGTACTGGCCACGTTGCTGCGACGTGTGCACACCATCACCACCACCACCACCAACGCCGTCACCGCCGCTGCCGATGGGGTTGCGTGTCGTTGGTGCCAGAAATCCGCGCTCGTTGCGGGAGCGGAAGGATGCGGTTGGTGGCTGTCGTCCAACAATCGGTGTCACTGTGCGCGTCCACTGCTTGTAACCGCCAACGTTCATGCCGTCACTCTCACCAGCATCCGCGATGCCGCCATAATTGCCACCCACCACATCATCGTGGTAGTAATTGTGGTAATCGCTAGCATCATCATCATCGTCGTTGTCGTCGTCGTCGTCGTCGTCGTCGTTGTGGTCGTCATCCATGTGCCCGCGACCCATCATGATATCGCCAGGATGCAGCCGGCGGTGGCGTGTATCATCAACAGCGAGCGACGGTTCCAACAGCACAGCGTCCAGTACATCAGCGTGATGCGAGGATGTGGTGGACTTGAACGACAGCCTCGACCCACGCTGCCAACGATCAATGCCATCACCACCGCCGCGTCTCCTGTGCTGGAAACTTCCGCCACGCTGTTGCCGTGGGTGCTGGTGACGATGGGCACTGGCTCGAACCGCACTCGCCTGATCACCAACCCTCTCGTCGTGGGCAAAGCCAGTCCGCACTGTTTCACGGTGCAGTGTTTGGTACTGGTGGCCCGAACTGGACTGTGGCGTTTGGTGGTGATGTGCAGCAGTCGTCGCTCCACGTGTCGAACGCACGTCACCTCGCAATGCTTCAGCCCCAGGTGACGACCACTGCTGCCCCATCATCATTGCGGTTGAGTATGCTGGCGGCGCGTGACGCTGCTGTTCTGCAACGACGCCAACGGCTCCAATGTCGCTTGCGCGAAGGGCCGCGGTACCTCGTTCGCGCTGTTGCTGCCGTGAGAAGTACTCATCATAGTCGCCCTCGAACCGCAACCTCTCCGGCTGGTGTCGCTGCTCATGGTCCTGCTGCTCGTCGTTGACGCGGTGCTGTTGCTGCTGGTCACGCATGCGTGCAGCTGTTGGTGCTTGCCGCCGCGCAATCTGCATTCCACTGTAAGTGAAGCCAGCATTCGCCCGTGCTGTGCGCACGTGGGCGAGGCCTTCCATCGCGCTCGAAGGGTGGTGATGTAAATGCCCCGCGCTTGGCGTGGCGTCGCTGGTCACGGTGCCATAATCATCACCACCGCCGCTCAAATCTGCAGGCGGCTGCGAGGAGGAAGCGCTTAGAGCCCCACCCCACAGCTGCGCCTGGCGGTGGTGCGCACGGTGCTGCTGATGATGATGATGCAATTGTCGCTGCTGGGACTGGCCCTGGTCTTGCAGACCAGCGTGCCAACTCATGCGCTGTTGCTCGTGTCGTGGCAACCACGTTGCTGAGGATGATGGTGATGCAATGAGCCAGCTGCCACGGCCAATGTGGGACCGTGACCGCACCCTGCGTGATTCCCCACCACCACCACCACCACCACCACCGCCACCGCCACCGCCACCACCACCACCGAAGCGTGCGTTGTCCTGGCGCGTATTCGTGCTGGAAACGGAGTCGTCGAGCGGCTGCGCGTCCTGCGTGTCCGCTGTCATCACTGTTGTTGCAACGCGATAGCTCGCACGCCGCGGGCGCCTTGCAGCACCTGTTGCCCGTTTTTCTGCGCCGGCTGCACCGCCCTCGTGTTGGCGTTGGCTGCGACCACTCTTGCGTCGCGTGGATGAGCGACTGGGTTGGTTCACGCGCACAAACGCAGACAGCACCGTGCTTCCCTCGCCGTGTTGCTCATGTGCGTGGTCTGTGTCAGGCCTCACCTCTGGGTGCTGCTGCTGTTGGTGATGAATGTTCGGGGCTGCCGATGGTGCTGCCGAAGCAGTGGAGGGATCCAGCCCGTCATCGCGCGAGTGCAATGCGATACGTCGGCGCATGCTGAGCCGGCGCGTGTATGTGGCAACAGGCATTGCGAGCGGGGCGTCAATGTCGGCGTACAAGAAGTCAATGCCACCGGTCGTGACCACGTTGCCAAACTCCACCGCAGGCAAGTCGTGCGACCATGCAGAGGAGCTGCGCGTGGTGGCTGTGGGTGCGCGATCTGCGGGGACCGGCACGAATATGTCCTCAACCTCCCGCGCAAGCTGAAGACGGTTGACGGTGTCGAGAACACTGCGCAGCCATATCAGCTGCAGTCGGCACAAGAGCGCGCGCGCGGGCTCAAAGCGTGCATCGTTGCCGCCAGGACCACCACGGCCACGGCTGTCTGGGTGTTCCTCTGCGTCGCTCAATGCATGGCGCAAGGACAAGGACGTCTCTGTGGAAGCACGAGACAGGCCAATGCTGGAGAGATCGTCTCCAAAGCTTGTCGAGGACACGGGGGAGGGCGTTGACATGCGAATACGGCGCCACACTTCTTCCAGGGATGAGCGTCCAACCACAGCACCACGCTCCCTGCCACCACTGCCGTGACCGGGACTCGATGCTGTTGGCGTTCGACCGACGGGTTGCGGGCGCGGTGAGCGCAGCAGGTGCGGGGATGAGGTGCTTGATCGCACGAGTGGCGATGATGTCTTGACGCGGCCAGCTACAGCTGCAGCGCTGCCCACACGGCGCATGATGGGGCGGGGGCTCTGTTGGGTGGTGCTGGTGGTGTCTGGCTGATGTGATGTCGATGGTGCAGAAGGCGCTGGTTGCCGCGGAGGTGACATCACGACGTTACTCTGCACCGCATCTGTCCATGCGCGCTCTTCATCAAACGACTCCACTTGTTGTTGTTGTTGTTGTTGTTGTTGTTGTTGTTGTTGTTGTTGTTGTTGTTGTTGTTGTTGTTGTTGTTGTTGTTGGCGTTGTTGTTGTTGGCGTTGTTGCTGTGGTTGTTGCTGTGGTTGTTGTTGTTGTTTCTTCCAGCGTGGAGGGCTCTTCAGCTCTTGTCCTGTTGCACGCTGCATTGCCTGTGCAATTCCAAAATCCAGCACTGCCAAACGGTTTCCACCACCACCACTACCACTGCCGTCTTTCCTTCGCGGGGGCGTGGCCAGTGCGCCAGGAGTGTCGGGCGAGGTATGATGCAGCGCTTCTGTTGCTGCTGCTGTTGAGCGGTGCGGCGTTCCCGATGCTGATGAGAAGGAAGTGGGCGGTGACCGAGGGGAACGGGGCGATAGCGGAGATTTGGCCGTGGGCGTCGCCGACAGGGAAAGTGGGCTCCCACGCAGGTCATATGTTTGCTCCTGCGCGTAATGCCACGCAGAGCGGAGTGCGTGGCGTGGGTCAGGCAGGCGCTCATCTCCACCGCCCGTGCCAACGCACAGCGTGACATCTGCCCCTCCTTGGCCCCCGTCAACGCTGCTGCCGAGCTTCGCCTCCAGCGTATTCAGGGCCTCAATCATCAGCGACAACACGTCCTCCTCTGCACGTGCGCGCCTGCGCGTGTTGGTGTGCTGCACAAACCGCGCGAGCCATGCCTTCTCCGCGCCACTCGCCTCCACGTCATTGCCGCTGATTGTCGACGAGGTCGCAATGGAGGAAACTGACGGCGCTGCCGACAGCCCCACCGGTGCCGATTGCTGCGAGTACAGCGGTGCAACACCGCCTTTGCCGCCTGTGCCACCCTGTGCCGGCTTCTCCCCAAAGGCGATGGAATGCCGCCTGGACATGCGGCGCCGAATGCCGTCGCGAAACCGACCAGCGAAGGACTGGCGGTGCGAATGATGGCGAGCTGTGCCCTCTGCATCGACCCCACGGCTGCCGCCAGAGTCATGTCTTTCTTCACCATCATCACCCTCTCTTCCTGCTCCACCACCGCGACCACCTCCTGTGTCGTCAGCGTCCTTCGTGTTGCTCTCGTCGTCACTGCCGCTGTGGCCAACATAGAAAGGGCGACGAGAACGATAACTGGCATTTCTGCCACGCTCACCACGAACAGCAACACCAGTTGAGTCGGTGGGTGTTGTGGATGTGTCTTCAGGCAGCTGTGTGAGAGCTGCTGTCGCGCGTGCGCCTTCCGACTGCTGGGCTGCTGAAGCACCGCTGCTGTGGCCGGTCGTGGTGCTGGTCGTGGTGCGGTTACTGCTGCTGCCGCTGTTGACCTTGCTGCCACTGTTGACTTTGCTGTCGCTGCTGCGTTTGCTGCGCCAGCTCATCCCGCGACGAGACGACCGGCGCGTGCTGCTGGCTGACGACGATGCCGGAGACGGCGCGCTCGTTGGAACGGCAACGGAGCGAGTCATGTCTGCGGGGATGAGAGGGGCAAGGCGCTGCACAACTGCACGCGCTGGGAAGCGAAGGCAGTCCTTGAACACCGACAGTGAAGCCACCTGTTCCGTCACGTCATCTGTAGGCGCCGCTGGCATTCTCCCAGCACCCATCAGCACCGCGCGAACCTCCCGCACGCACCGCTGCTCCACAGGCAACGACCACGAGCCCAGACGCGGCAACAGCTCCTGCTTGATGTACAGCGAGGCCAACGTGTCACCGTGCGCGTCATCCTTGGTCATATCAGACCACAGCTGGCTTCGGCCTGGTTGCTGTGCGAGATATTCACGCCGTCGTTGTCCTTGTTGTTGCTGCTGCTGTTGGCGATGGTGCAGAAGAACGTCTGTTGCCATGTCACTGGCAGCACTCGCGCTCGCACCAGCATTTGTTCCACCGCTGCTGCGGCCATTGGTTTTGTCGCCATCAGCCTCGCTGGCACCGGCACGGGCACCACCAAGGATGAGCCTCACTTGCTCTGCCAAGGAGAGCGGCTGCTGTTCGTTGGCATGGGCAGCGCCTCCGAAGATGTCTCGGGTGTCCCACGCCATGCCATCTTGCTCGCTGAACCCTGCTGCTGCTGTTGGTGTTGGTGTTGGTGTTGGTGTTGGTGTTGGTGTTGGTGTTGGTGTTGGTGTTTGTATTGTTGGTGCCGCGCTTTCGGTTGGTTTCCGTGCTGATGCTGATGCTGACACTGATGTTCCGTCGTCACCTGCGTTGGCGTCGGTGGTGCCCGTATCATCGCCCTGCGAGTGCAAGCGCAGCTGCGCTTCCACCAGGACGTCGTGCGCCACCATCATGACGTGAATGTCGGACAGCGTTTGTAGGTACTTGGCAATCAGCGTCTGCACGCCTGTCTCAAAGAGATGGCATGCGACGGCACACATGGCTGGCTGGAACACCGTGTCTTCTGTTGCCTTTGTTCGGATCAGCCACGGCCCAAGCTGCAGAGCAAGCGCATGCAGCCCATCACCTAGCTGGTACGTGTTTGCATCAGAGTCACCGCCCGCAGGTGGTGCAGACGGTGGAGGCACAAACGCGCTCCCGTTGCTGTTGCTGCTGCTGTGACTGTACCGGGCACTGCTGGCTGTGGTGTTGGTGCTGGTGCTGGCACCAGTGTGTGTCGCCGGGGGACGAAAGCTGCCGTGCTTGTGCTGCTTGTTCATGTCGATGTTGCCTCTGTTGCGGTGCTTGCTGCGGCTACGCTTTTGCTCTCGCCGGACCCACAAGGCAAGGCTGCGGCCGACCTCACTCCACGCCACTGTCTGCATGATGGCCGACACAAGGTCGTGGTTTGGGTGCTCGGTGTTGTTGAAGAGCGCGCCCTGCACCTGATATGGGGAGCACTCGCCATCTTGGCTGTATGTGCGCGTGAGGCAGGAGTAGCAGAGGCAGCGGCGGCACAGCTCCTCCTGATCATGCTCGCGTCCGCCCATTCCGCTGGCCATGGTCGCTGTTGTGCATGCGGAGAACGCACGCGACGACGCACGCGATGTGGCAGTGCTTGCGGCTGCACTGCTGTCGGGTGGCGGTTGTGGCCGGAAGAACGCAACATCGTATGCAGATGCCGGCATGTGTTGGGGGGAACTGGTCGCCTGCCGCACGAGCGACGCATGGCGGCGTCCTTGACGAGCAGGTGCCGCGTGCATTGCTGGCGACGCTGCTGGCACTGCCTCAGATGGTTCTGTGTCTGTTCTGGCTCCTTGTGGTGCTTGTGCAGCCGTTGGTGTCGTGCTCTCTGCTACACCTGTGCTGCTGCCATCGTCGGGGCCGCTGGCGTTGCTGCTGTGGCCACCTGGCATGTCCTTGGCAACTGAGGCCGCATGTTTTGGGTTTGGAGACAGTGCCCTCAACAGCATGGGATTGGGCTGGTGGTGCTGGTGCTGCGGCATGCGGTGTGTGGGTGTAGCTGAGGCGGCAGTGGAGGTGGCAACCGACACATCGGAGCCAGTGCGTGTGGAATCGACGGCGTGCGATGATGGCTGGTGCTGGATGCACGAAGATGGCAGCAGGACGAGGGGATCCTTCAGGCAGAGAATGTACTCCAGGAGGAGATGCGCAACAAAGTGGATGGGGGTGGTCTGGTCGGCAATGAGTGCCGTGTTGCCGTCACACACGCGTGTCCGAAACCGGTCATACACGTCCTGTCGTTTGGGCCACCGGTGGGCATAGGGACATCGAGAGGATCGCAAGCAAAGCAGTGAGTGGATGACGAGAAAGGGAGTGTCAGAGTGGCAAGCGAGTCCATCGCACAAGCAAGCAGCCTTGACATCAGGCCTGCATACCCACAGAGGAAAAGTTGCGGGCAGGCAGGATGGCCATGCTAACAATCACGTACGAACGAGCACAGGGACAATGATGCACACACGCGTGCACATGTACACACACATACAAGCATAAACAGCCACACACACAGACACGCACACAGACACAGACATGTACACACACAGACACAGACATGTACACAGACACAGACACAGACAGACACAGACAGACACAGACAGACACACACACAGACACACAAGCATACACAGCCACAGAGAGACGATTATACGCACCTGGTCTGTGCGAGGAATGTCTTGCAGAAAGGGGGTGACGATGGCCGTGGTGGACTCAAGAAGACGTTGACAGCAGACAACAACAAGATAGGGGACACGGCCACCCCACACTGTGGACTGGGGCTCCTGTCGCAACAACAGGGCTGGCGCAAAGCCCAGTGGGCCCTTCCACGGGGCATCCTTGAAGTAGTGCAGACCCTCCATGTGCTGCAGGGCTTGCGTTGTTGCGTCCAGCAGTGATTGCTGGGCCACCAACTCGGCCTCAGCCTCAGATGCCAGGTGGTGTCGGCGGTGTTGCGGCAATGACGGTGATGATGATGCTGATGACGATGACATAGATGAGGACAGCCATAATCCCGACGACGGCGCGCTCTGACGTGCGGGCGTGTGCATGCGAGCACGCGCGTGTGTTTGAATGTGTGTTTGGGGATGTGGCTGTTCTGGTGTGATGGTTGTATCGAGATCGTCGGCATCGTCATCACCATCGTCATCTCCGTTGCCGTTGCCGTTGCCGTCGTTCCTGGCTGGCGCGCACGGCACGGACAGCTGTGCCACGAGGCGCTGTGCGCGCGCGTGTGAGAGGCGGCAGCGCGGACACGTTGCTGTCATGCGGCAGCACCGGTGCTCCTTCCGCGCGAGAAAGTGGTGGGAGAGCAGCGTGTTGCCTGCACATGTGCCTTGAATACGCGGCACGCATGTGGGGTGGACGGCTTGCTTGCAGCAGCGGCAGGTGTAGCCTGGTTCCAGCAACCAAATGGCAGCGCCACAAACAAGGCACACGTCCATCTCGTCAAAGTCTGTCAGCAGCAGGATGTGCTTGTGTTGGATCAGCACAGGCGGGTGCTGGTGCCGCGGTCGCCTGTCACGCGGTGGAGCAAACAACACCGCAGGGAAAAGCACGGTGGTTGTACTGTTGGTGGTGCCCCGCTTTGCCGCGCTGCTGGCACTGCCACCTTTATCATGTGCTGTTGTGCTGGTGGTGGATGCACGCCTTCCGCTACTGCCGCGGCTGTGGCTGTTGGTTCCGCTGATGGTGCTGCCCCTCTGCTGCTTGCCGCCATCCTGTGCTTGGCTGCTGTTGAGGCCGCCGTCCTCGTTCGCAAGCAGCGCCTCAAACTGCTTCGGGAACCGCTTCGATTGCTTGCGCGTGTCGCGATCACGAAAGGCAACGCTACCACCAGCCGTAATCATGCCCTGCCATGCTGCTGACGATGTGCCGAGGTTGAAGCCCGCATAGCGCAGAATCACCGTGCGAAACAGCGACAGGCAGTGGTAGCGAACCTGTTTCTGCCACTCCTCCACGTCCACATCCGCGTCACCCATCGCGTCATCACTGTCGGTCCCATCGCACTCATCACTACCACCATCATGAGTGCTGTCGCGTTGCTGTTGTTGCTGGTGCTGTTTTTCTGCACTACTCCTGCTGTTGTTGTTACTTGTGCTGCTGTTGTTGTTGTTGCTGCTGCTGTTCTTTTCCTGCCCGTCGTCGTCTTGCTGTGCTTGTTCTTGTCTTTGCTGTTCTTCTATTTCTATTTGGTCTGTCTCTGAGGTCTCATGCTTCCCTTCCGCTTTCGTCTCTTTGGTCTTGCCCTTGGTGCTGCTCTTGCTGCGCTTCCAGTCGTTTGACCTCTGCTCGCTGTGTTTGTGTTTGTGTTTGTGTTTGTGTTTGTGCTTGTGCTTGTGCTTGTGCTTGTGCTTCTTCTTTTCCTCACTGCTGCTGTCGTTGCTGGCTGCCATGGGCTGTCGCTGCTGCTGTTGCTCACGCGCCATGCTGGAGAGGACTGCGTCAACGTGCAGCACAAACACCTCCATGATGTCCTTGGCTGTTTTCATGTGCGTCATCGCAGTGCACCCGGTGCAGAGAAGCCCGTGCAGACTGGAAGCAAACTGCAGCCGCAGCGCCCACAGCGCGCGCAAGAACGCCTGCCCGCCAAGGGTCAGCCCCATCTGGTGGCGGATGTACTGCGCCACCTGCGCCAGGAACGTGTCGAGCCCAATGGCGCTCTGTAGGGTGTCCAGCCTCGCCGCTGACAAGCGCGTGGGCGCATCGGCGTGGGCGTCCTCCGTGGCGGGATGCACGATGGCGCGACCCAGGCCAGCACCACGCCCTCGATAGTCGTTGAAGCAGAGCATGATGTACCGCGCGGGGGTGGCAGGGAACGTCAGCGTTTGCTGCGGAAGAACGTCGCCACCTGCAGCACGCCGCTGCCGCTCGCCCAGGGTCGCACCACGCACGCTATCCAGGACCAGGGAGCCGAGCTCATACCAGTTAAGGGACTGCAGCTCGCTTGGGCTGTAATCACCAAACACACGCGTGCGCGTCTCCACGCTCTTTTCCAGCTCTTCTGCTGACAGGCGCTTGCTATTGCTGTTGACAGAACCGGCGGTGTCGCCTTGGTCGTTCAGGCGCCTGCTCTTCTTTCTCTTCTCTAGCGCCTTCTTCTCCTTTTGCTGCTGCTGCTTCTTCTTCTTCTTGATCTTCTTCTTCGATCTTCTTCGCTCTCTATCCCTCTGCTTGTCCACATTTGTGTTCTTGACCCCGTTCTTGGTGCTTGCAAGCACGCCCCCGCCACCACTGGCATCAGCACCCTCTTCAGTCTCGTCGTCATCCGCGTCAGCGTCATCATTGCCTTCTTCATTCTCTTCGTCCTCCCCATCATCTTCGTCAATGTCCTCAAGGTTTGAAGCTCGGTTCTTGCGCCCCCGCTTCGTGCGACGCGACAGCCTGCCTTGCCGGTGCTGGTGTTGCTGCTGCTGTGTAAGGGACGGCTTGAGGAGTGCATACGCCGTCACGGTGCGGCTTCCGCGCTCTGTGAGCGAGTCGTTGCTGCCCGTGTTGGAGAAGGAGATGGCAGACACCGAGGTGGCGCTGCGGAGGTCAAGGACAAGGCCCGGGCCAGTCGCACCCGTCTTCATGATCCAGACACACTCCGAGCAGTCGCCGTATGAATCCGTCAAGAGGTTGGCGGGATTGTAGGCCTGTGAAGTGGCGAGGTCATCGCACAGGCTCCACGCAACGACATACATTACGTGGCGGCGTGTGGGCTTCGTTGCAGCGAGGAGGGCGAGTGCCTGCTCGGAGAGCTCGTACTTCGCCACGGCGCTTGTCATCCACTCTGTCTCATCATCTGCAGCATCCTGCAGGGAACTGTTGCGTGTGCTCTTTGATGTGGCTGCATTGGCAGACGCCTCATGTGGTTGCCGGTGTTGTTGTGAATGTAAATCTTCACCGCCAAGGGCACCTGCGCCGAGCTGGGCTTCTTCTGGGATGGCGGCCGCGCTTTTGTGTTGCTGTTGCTGCTGTTGCCGCTGTTGCTGCTGTTGGTGTCGCGGATGGCCACCCTTGACGCGCTTGGACCAGGTTCGCTTGCCCACCTCCAACGGCAAAGGCTTGAGCGCCACAAACTCGGCCTCGCCTGCCGCCTCTTGGTCCTGAAAGTCGCTCAGTGTGATCGGCGTAGCATCTGAAGGAGCTTCATGGTGTGTCTGCGACGCGCTGTGCTGGGCGGCCTGTTCTTCTTCGTGCTGGTTCTTTAGCTCCACTGAACTGCTTTCCGCAACGGTGTCAATGTTGTGGCTGGGGTCGTTGTTGTTGTCTGCCTTTGCGCTACCATCTTGACTGTTGTCCGTGCTTGCAAGCAAAGTAGGTTGTTGTTGTTGTTGTTGTTGTTGTTGTTGTTGTTGTTGTTGTTGTTGTTGTTGTTGTTGTTGTTGTTGTTGTTGTTGTTGTTGTTGTTGTTGTTGTTGTTGTTGTTGTTGTGTAAGTGTGGCGGTGCTGCCCTGTGCTGTGCTCCCGGAGGCAGAGCTTGCCTCCGAAAGAGCCAGGGCGAGTGCAGCACGCGATGGTGATGATGTTGAGGGTGTGTGGTGTGCCGGGATGGTTGCGCTGGCAGCCTGGCGAGCAGCCGGTGCAAGGCCGAAGAAAAAGTCCTGGTGGCTGCGAGAGCTCAGGCGTCGCACCAGCTTGCCTTTTGCATCTTTGCCGGCCATGCCACTGGTGGCAGTGTTGCCAGTATGACGGCCACTGCCACTGCCACTCAGTCACTGCAACTGTCCTGTGCGGAGTGGTTGGGCCGCATGCAAAAGTGCAAAGGCTTGTGTCCTCTGTGTGTGTCGGTCGGTCGGTTGTTGCTGGAAGCCGTTAGATTGAGACTGTGACGTGCAAGATAGCACAGGCAGCTGCCTGTCCACGAGTGTTGCTGGTGCGTCACACAACACAGAAGGCTGCTGCTGCTGCTCAATAGGATTGTCCGATCGCCACGCCCGCGGTGTTGTGTGTCTGTCTCCGCACTTGATGTTTGGTGGCGACAACACAAGACCGGCACGACAGCCAGCGATGGGAGAAATACGCACCCACCAACCAAACACAACGCGCAACAACAAGCAAAGCGCACAAGGAAAAAACCAAAACAAGGAAATGAGTGGCGCAAAAGATTTGAACTGTGTTGTTGCGTGCGGTGCTGTCTGTGTGCTGTGTGCTGTAAGTGTGTGTGTGTGTGTGTGTGTGTGTGTGCGTGTGTGTGCGCGCGCGTAGGTGTGTCTTTGGATGTCTGTGTGTGAGTGTGTGCGTGTGTCTTGGGATGTGTGTGTATGTGCTGCGTGTGCGTGTGTTTGTGGTGGATTCACATCAATTCTTTCGTTCTTCTTTTCTTCTTTTCAGTGTGTTGTGGCAGACACGCCTTTTCCAGGAGCCAACAAACCAGCAAGCCAGCAAGCCAGTTAGGAAGTCACCAGGCAGCAATCTCCTTCGTTAACACGACCAGCATACCTGCGGAACCTTGCTTGCATGCAAGCACGAGTACACCCCGTTCCTTCCCCACCACAACCCGCACCCCCTTAGTGTTCGTCTTTGCCTTGGTCAAATGTGAATGTGTGAGACGACGACAGCACGGCGCACACGAGCTCCTGTCGTAACAAAAGAAGCAAGAGAGCAAGAGAGCAAGAGACAGAAACGCCCAGAGGACCGAATGAGGAAATGACACACACGCGAAGAGCACAAGAACACAAAGTGTTACAACATCTTGCGTTGTTGGCAGCTTTCCACAGCCGAACACACGCCCACCTGCGTCATGTTGAGAATCCTAAGCGCACACTCGACGTCTGCATCGGAGGTGGAGGCTGCAGGCTGCATGCCAAAGGACAATGTCGGCCCAGGTCTGCCAAGAGCCAGTTTCAGAGTTGGACAAGCCATGTCACTGGCACGCCGCCGCACAGATAGATTTTACAAAGGCTACCGCACACACAACGTGCTCATGCAAGCCCTTGTGCGAGCCCTTGTGCGCATGCATGCACCCACCAAAGCACCAACACACGCACCACATGCACACCAACACCCGCACCACATGCACACACACGCACACACACGCACACACACGCACACACGCACACGCAGCACTTATTCGCATTCTTCATCACGCTTGAGGGCTTACCTGTCATGTCTCGTTGATGACGAAGACAGAGGCCAGTGATGCTGGCGGTGGGCCTCCTCCTGCTGTCTCAGCTGTGCCAGCAAGGAAATGTGTTGCAAGTGCAGCTTGTAGAGAATGTCTTGAATCTCGGATGCCGCGATCTCATCTGTACAACGTGGCAAGTAGACCGCAAGAGAGAAGCACGGGCAGGATGACTCAATGGCTCAATGACTCGATGAGGGCTGTGTGGCAGGGCACTGAAAGTGTACGTGTTGAGGGGATGTGCTGAACGTGTAGAGCAGATTTGCACCACCCTGGCGCGCCGTGGCACCCTGTGCTGTTGCACATTGCAGCATCAAGTGCTTGCAAGCAAACACAACTGACCGATGGTGTGGAGGTGCTGCAGTGGTTCCTCTGCAGGCCACGCCGCTGGGAAGTGAGTAGGAGGCAGTGGCGTGTGCTGCTGAAGATCATAGTGCATCGAGGCTGAGCTGTGGGTTGGATAGTGTTGGCACTGCTGGTGATGCAACTGATGGTACATGTGCGAGTGTTGGGGCGCGTAACTTGTCATAGCTGCCGCAGTTGAGGACACCGGCAGTGGGGACGTTGCCTGTGGTGCTGGTGGCTTTGTCGTTAGTGGGGTCACTTGAGCCAGTTGGTGAGAGCCGTACACATCCAACCCTGGGTATGTTCTTGTCGCCGTTCCTGATGGCTGCTCCTCGAACCCCTGCTGTTGATTCTGTTGATCGTACTCTTCTTCTTGCACTGCGCCGAAGGCCTGTTGTAGCTGCAGCTGTGGGTGTGTCCGAAGGGGCAAGGCGTACTGGCGGAGGGTGGCGGGCGAGCTGGGTCGGAGTGCAACCTCGGCAGGGAGGCGCCGCTGTACCAGCTCTTCTTCGTAGCCGGTGGATTGCTTGTTCATTGAAGGCGAGCTTGGTGGCAGCCTGGTGTTCGCACCAGTAGGTACATGCAAGCTGCTTCCTCGTGCGCTGCTGACCAGGTCTGTAGATCCCGAAGGGGATGCTGGTGTTCTTGAGGTGACGCTGCTTCCACTCGCCAGCAATGGGAGTGTTGAAGCCTTTGAAGTTGCAGACCTGCTGCTGTTGCCACTGCCGCCGTCACTGCTGTCGGCGGAATTACGGCTGCTGCTGTTCGTGCTGTTGTTGTGGCTCTTGTCTGCGATGTTGTTGCTGCGGCTTCTGGTGTCGTTTCGGGCTCGCACAGCTGTGAGCGAGACAGGCAGGGAAGGCATCTTCCCTTTCGGCAGCGGTAGCAACAGCTGCTGGTCTTGTTGCTGCTGCTTGAAGTTGAACATTGCCAGAGAGTTGTTTGTTGGAGTTGCTGGCTCAGTCGCTCCGGTCCCTTTCCCAGTCGGCGTGGCAAAAGCAGCTGGGCTAGCTGCATGGCGTGCATGTGCGCTTTCGTCGCTGCTATTGTTGCTGCTGTCATTCTTTGTGCGCTTGTTGCGTGTCCCCTCAGCATCCGTGCGCTCAGGGTGCAGGGTCCCGCTTGAACCAAGGAATTCAGCTGCCTCTTCATGACCATGGTCGTGACAGCTCCTCTGGCGTTCGTAAGTCACGCTTGGCGTGAGCGATCTTTCAAAGTTGAGTCTGCGGGCCATGAAGAAGGGTGTGCTGGAGTGTGCGTGTGCGTTTGTGTATGTATGTATGTGTGTTTGTGCGTGCGCGTGTCCTTGAAGCAGTGCAGGGAGGTAAAGAAGTTTGGCGGGAAAGTGAGTGTTGGATGAGTAGTCGGAAGGTTCAGGTTTGAGGGAGTGAGGGTTTGCACACGACCACGTTGTAAATTCGCGCCATCTTCTCCACATTACAGAGTCATTATTCAGACAGACAGACAGACAGACACACACACAGACAGACACACATGTCCGATTGGCTTTCTTTATGTGCTCGCGTGGGCAGTGTGGGACTGCCAAGAGCCAGAAAGCAGCATGTGAAGACAGAAATGCTTTGTCAATCAAGAGATGTGGGCGTGCGCGTGTTGTGGTGGTGGCGGCATTCGCTTCACAGGCAGCGCCACAAACGGCAACAAACGATGACAGACGACAACAGTCAACAACAGACGGTCAATGACGACAAAGGGCAATGCATCACGTGCGTCCCAGACAAGGATTATCACACTGATGCACCATACACACCACACACACACACACACAAGCAAGGAAGCAACAAAGCAGACGGGAACATGCAGTAAACAGCAGCAACTACTCAGGAGGAAGAAAGTACAGTATACCAAGCACACAAACAGCACATGCACAAACAACACGGTCACTCTACACACCAAGTCATCAAGACTCGTACATGGCCAGTTTGCGTGTCAATTCTGCGCACGATGTGTGATGTGTGTGCATGTGTGTGTGTGAGGGGATTGCCTGGGAGGTATGGAACGTGCAAACGCGGCGACACACACACATGCACACGCACACACACATGCATGCACACACATGCACACACACACACACGTACATGCACACGCACACACGCGCACACGCACACACATGCACACACACCACACACAATGCACACACCCCACACACAGCAGACCAAGCAAGACTCACCATCGATCCGCTTGTCCTTGAGCTTGACAAGCTGCTCCATCTTCCGCACTTTGACCTTCAGGATCTCGATGGTCTCCTGGTAGTCCATGATGCTCTGGTCCTTGTCCATCAGCGCCTGCACTGGATCCTCAATGTCCTCATATGCCGGCGAGTCGAGCACTTCCGCAAAGCTGTTGTGTCTGGGTAGAGGGGATATCGTGGATAGCGAGGGTGGAGAGGCGGGCAATGGTACATATTGTGCGTGCGTGTGGGTATCGGTGAGCGGTTTCGTGCTTGAGCAGAAAAGTAGGCGAGACAGCGAGAAACAAGAGAACTACAGAACTACAGAACAAAGCAACAAAGGAAGCACAAGCGAAGCACAAGCGTGTTGGTGCGATTGCAAGCTCGCGTGTATTTGGGTGGGGTGCTGTGAGCCAGAGAGCGCCCTGTTGTTCTCTTCTCTCTCCCTCTCGCCCACTGTCATGCGAGCAAGGCGCACAAGCACAGTTGCTCATCATGACACGGCGACGTACTGCTCCTGTGGTTTGTCGCTTGCTGCCTTCTTCGGTTTCCGCCTTTTCTTTGGCTCGAGGTCGCCCCAGCCCGGCGTCTTTTGTGAATCGCGGGTGTCAATCCCTGCTCGTCGTTGCATGTACTGACAGTCATACAGAAAACATTCCGGTGCGAGCATTATGTCAGCATGGGCAAGGAACAGCACGTGGCAACACAAAACAAGACACACGAAACCGTTGCACAGGGGTGCAAAGGTGACACACATACACAGACAGACACACGCACACGCACACAGATACACACAGATACACACACACACACACACACACACACAGACAGGCACACGCACACACACACACACACACACACACACACAACACACACCTGCTCGATTTTGACGCGGAGGTTGCTGAGGACAACCTCCACAACGCCGGCCTTGTTGTTCACGACACCTTTGACGACATTCTCCGGCACGGTCAGCCCCAGTTTCTTGAACACTTTGGCTGCACATGCGCGCGCGCGTGTGTGTGAGTGTGTGAGTAGAAGAGGGATAGAAAGGGGAGTGAGCTCAAGTGCTTCTTAAGTTGCTGACAACTGACTGATCAGAGACACAAACTGACGTGCGATTGCACATACTCAATCCACACAACACACCACGCCACACACACATGCACATGAGCATGGTCTCACCGTTGAGTGTGTGCCAGTTGTCCAACTTTTGTCTGGATGAGCTTGCTGGGGAGTAGTTGTGAAGCTCAACGAGCTTTGGAATGAAGTGGTGTACAACCTCCGCCACCATAACTGTGTTGGCAAGCAGCGGCGCGTGAGGCAAGGGATAGTCGAAGAACAGCGGGACAGGGCGAAAGCACAAGTATGCATACAAACAAGCATGTGCATAAAAACAGGCACGTGCATATGCGCACCCATTCAAACAAGCATGACTGTATTACGTTCACACACTGACACGCGCTCACAGACAGACAGACAGACAGACAGACAGACAGACAGACAGACAGACAGACAGACACACACACACACACACACACACACACACACACACACACACACAGACAGACACGCACACACACACACACACAACGTCAGTAACGCACCGCCATCGCTAAAGTCACGGGCGATGTTCTTCTTTGGCCTGGACAATGGAACTTCATCAATCCACGCATACAAGTGTTGCAGTTCTGTCTCGTCCATTCCGCTCATCGTGGCAGTCAGTCGTCGGGGCGCACACAACAAACAAAGAACGACGGTGATCTCCGCACGCCAACAATAACACAAATCAGAGAGACCGAGACAATCAAAGGAGCAGCGGCACAGCAATGATCCGAGTTTCTCTTGCTGTACAGTGGGTGGTGGTGGTGGTGGTGGTAGGATCAAGTAGCCAACAACAAGCCAGGGGAGATGGATGGATATGGCACGCAAGCGAGGGCAAGGTCGGTCGCGAGGGGGATGGTGGTGGTTGTTTGGATGTTTGGCTGTTGTTCGTTTTTGCGTTTGCGTTTGTTTGTGTGCGTCAAGGGCAAAGTCAAAATTGCTTTCCAGGTCAAAGGTAAAAATTGACCTCACGTGGTTTGGTTGTTTGCGTGTGTCGTCCTGCCTGTTGTGTCACACACATCATGCATGTCATATGTCACATCGTGTTCACGTGTTTGGAGTCCACCCACTCACGCCGCACGCATGAACTGTAAACTCACAATCAGCTAGCTAGCTGTGTACTTCTTGGCTTGTTGGCTTGTTGCGCGCAAACACCCGCGCAACAGCGGTGGCGGCGGCAAGACAACGAGCAAGCAGGCAAGCAAGTGAGCAAGAAGGGGGAAAGCAGGGAAAAAGAACAAGGGAAAAGAAGAAAGAAAAGGAGAAGAGCAACAGAGCTTCGCATGTCAATCAAGGCTGTCAATTACGATAATGTAAGCTACAAGCTCGGGTCTTCCCTCCACAGCGAACGAGTCAACAAAACAAACAAACAAGACACAACACACACACACACACACAAACAAACAAACAAATAAACAAACAAACACACGCAAGCAAAGAGACAAAACACATGCAAACAAGCCAACAAACAGAGAAGAAGAGTACGGCCACAAGGGAGAGAAGAGGAGCAATACAATAATCAGCAAAACGAGAAATATATCGCTGTCTGGTTCGATCAAACACAAAAGTCACTGCTACACATCGCGGTCAAACCCCACACGACCATCACTTGTCAACCACACACCACACCACAGGACACATTCATTTCACCACCACGTCAAGTCGTTTACATCAACCATCACAAACTGACGCCATCACTCTCCATCACAACATGTGCCTTGGTTATGGCAGATCACATCACACCCGCGTCCCCCACACCCCCCCCCCCACACCCCAAAGATGGCTGCGCGCATCACGCTGGCTGCGGTGCGTCCTGCACGGCACCGTAGCGCGCCTGCGGTGGGGCATTCCGCCGACGAGAGCGTGCAGGATCACTTCGTGACGCCTTGGCTGCATCCTTGCTGGCGGCTGCAGCACTGCGGCTGCTCGGGCCACAGCACCCGACCCGCCTCAGCAGCTCGGAGAGGCCCCAGTCGTCCCAGGCCAGCGCGCCTCGCAGGAACACGTACAGGAAAAACACGTCAATGAGCCAGTAGCCGCCAAGGTAGATCCACTCCTGCCGGCCGCCCAGGTCGCCCTCAGCCATGACAAAGTACGTGTACTCCATCTCACTGCCGAGCGTAAACAGAACCAGCCACGAGGAAAGGTGCGCCCCGGCCCAGGGCGCAATCCACCCGCGCCCGGAGGAGCCGCTCGACTGCGAGCGTGCAACACCGCCAACGGTACCAGCGTGCTCACGTTGCTGTGGTTCATGTTGCAGGCCCTCCTCGAGCGAAACGGCGACGGCGTCGACGGTGGACGAGGGCATGCTATCCACACCACCGGCGCCACCTGCACGCGCGCAGTCATCGTGCTCGTTGCCGCTGCCGGCGCTGCTTGTGCTGCCGTCACGCCTCCCTCGGCCCCGCGCTGCTGCTGCTGCTGCTGCTGTTGTTGCGGTTGCGGTTGTGGTTGGCTGCGTAGGCGAAGCAAGCAGCCCCGTGCGCTCTGTGGCCGCGTACTGCGCATGGCGCGTGTTGTACGGGTGTGACGGGAACGGGTGAAGCAGGCGCGGTGTCAGCACACGTGTGCGCTGCAGGCTGATCATGCGCGTCTTGGAGTTGAGAGCCAGGTGGTTGACCAGGGCAAGCCCGCACAGCACGAGCGTGCGGAAGTTGTACAGGGCAATGTGCACCACGTCCATGGGGTAGTGGTCTTCTTCAAGGTGCTCTGCCGTGTGGTAGCTCACATACACGCCGTTGATAAACGCCAGCAGCACCACCACAAAGCGGAACGTGTCCCACAGAAACTGCAAAATGCCGCGGTGCCAAACAAAGCGGTCCCAGTGCCGGAACGCCGTGACGAGGAAAAACAGACAGACGAGCGAGCCCAGGCTCAGGGTCGGGGCGCTGTAGATGGAGGTCACAGATCCGTGCGCCAAGCGGCGGTGGGACGGCACGCTCGACATCTGTGCAGGGCGAAGACAATGGCAGGAGACAATAAGGCAAGGAAGGAGAAGGAGGGGGAAGAAGGCGCGATGTGTAACAACAAGGGGTGGGTGAGTGCACGGTCAAGGGCACGAGAAGGCAAAGGGCCAAAATGGGGGCACGCAAACGCAGCATATCAGCATGCACGCGCGCGCGCGTGTGTGTTCCGTAGTTGTTTTCACTGCTGGCTATCGTTCGTACCTGAGCGATGGTAAGGCCCCACAGCACCAACGTGACAAACGCCAGGCCCATGGCAAACCGCTTAATGTATTTGGCAAAGCGTCGCCGCTGGAAGCACGTGGGAGGAAGGAGGAGCAACAGCAAGGCACCATGGCGTTATGTGAGGATATTGTCATTTGTTTTGTTTGGGGATAGGCGTGAGAAGTCAAGCACACCTTGCATGGACGGACGGATGTACACGTGTGCGCAACGAGTACAGCAAACAGAACACACACACACACACACATCGCACACGTACAGAGTGCATACTGCGGCTTGCACCCACGCGCATACATATATATGCACACACACACACACACACATGTGCGCACTTACACAGCGCGCACTTACCGAGTCCGTTGGCGCGAGGTGCAGAGCATCAGGCAGGCTGTTGACAGAGAGGGTGCCGGAAGAGACCGGGTTGCGACGCATGCCGCCACCGCGACCATCCTGGCTGTCATCACCATCATCATCAGGATTGTCATCCGCGTATGGGTGGTGGCGGTGGTGGTGGCCCTTGAATGCACGCGCAACCATCACGTCGCCACGATAGCCGCTGCTCACGCCGCTCCACGCACGCCGCCCTTCCGCCGCATGCACGTGCATGACTTGGTCGGGGTGGTAAGTGCTGTTGTCTGTACTGTGCGGCCTCGGGCTGTCAACACCTGTATCGTCCCGCTCGCCACTGCCGTGTGATGTTGGCGATCCAATGGGACCGCGCCCCCCGCCGGCTCGCGTGCCCCAACCACGCTGCTGCTGCTGCTGCTGCTGCTGCTGCTGTCGCTCGCGGCGGCGGCGGTGGCGACGGGCGCTGCTGCTGCTGTGCTGATGGCGGTGTTGGCGGTGATCGTTGCGGTGGCCGTGGTGAGCAGACGGCGGGTGGTGGCCGTGGCCGTGTCCGGAGGCTGCGAGTTCCAGCTCCATGAGCGAGGAGGAGGCCATTGCCTGTTCGCGGCCGGCCCGCTTGTGCTCCTGCAGCAGCTGCTTCAGCTCGCGCCGGTCCACAACCTGCAGCAGCTCGTCAATGTGCGCCGTGTCGCGGGCAAGCGCAGGGCACCAGGCCAGCGCCGTGTACACGTCGTACAAGCGGTCGTACTCGCAGCCCTCCACCAGCAGCCGCAGCGCCGGCTCGTAGTTGAGGTTGGCGGTGCCTAGGCGGAGGTACGAGACATAGTCCGCTCCAAAGTCCATCAGCGTCTCCACAGCCAGCTGCAGGCCTGGTGGTTGACGGGGGGGGGAGGGAGGGAGCGGTGGTGCAAGGGCGGTCAGGCAAGCGATGGCACAAGGCAAGTGAAGAGAGGAAAGGGGGGGGGGAGAGAGAGCAAGCAAGATAAGAGGCAAGAGGGAAAACCAAAACTAAACACATGACGTCCAACAGCAGGCGCTGCAGCAGCCAGAACGTAGCGACCGCACACACATAACGAACCGAGGCTGGTGAGGGATTCTGCGGGCATGGAGACGAGGTGGATGAGCTTGGGAGTGCCGGAGGAGGTGAGCTGGGCGTTGGTGCAAATGGCGCGGACACATGGGTCGTCACGGCGATTCCAGTCAATGGTGGTGAGGAGCCGCATGCTGGCAATGGCACCAGGCGACGTGAACATGTTCTGGCGCGCGCATGGGGCAGCAAGCAAGTCCTTCTGCGAGGTGGCATCTGCAGACGGGTCGCGGGCCGTGATGGTGGTGGTGGTAGTGGCGACGGAAAGGGAGAAAGGGACTGTGAGCGTGGTGGGGCAAGGCTGCGCGCGCATTCATGCCAACACGAACAGACATGACGCATCACCGACGACACCGGATCCACCAAGAGGGGGCATACAATACGCAACACGGACGGCGCTTCACACGTTCATATGCACGCACCGAGTTGGAGAAAGGAGGCGATGCTGGCGAGGGGCTGCTCAAGAAACTTGTTGACGCCATAACACGCGCAGAAGACGCGGTCCCAGTAGGGGATGTTGTAGCGAGCAAGCACCGAGGGGATGGGCTCCTCGGTGGCGTGCTGCAGCGTGCGCAGCAGACAGCGGACCACCCTGGTGACAGAGGGGCACAAAGGGATGGGGGGGGATAAAGAAGGGATGGGGGATAAGAAAGGGGTGGGTGATAAGAAAGGGATGGGGGGGGGGAAAGGATGACAGGCAAATACACACACAGAGCACACGCACAGAGCACACGCACAAAGCACACACACACACACACACACACACACACACACACACACACACACACACACACACACAGCACACGCACACACAGACAAACTGGGCAACTTACGAGACGCAGTCGGCGGTGTAGAGGGGTGGGATGTGAAGTGTGGAGGTGAGGGCGTGGGGAGGACAGCACAGCAGCGCATGGAACGAAAGCTCCTGTGCAATTGAACAAAACGAGCATATGACGGGAAATGACGTGGTTATGATGGAGCAGAACAGTACAATATGTGGCGGAGATGGAGGTGTGAGCGTTTGATGGGTCATGATCAACATCATCACAAACATGTCATCATCGTGGGCCATCATGACGCAAGGGCGGAACGACAGCACAAAAAACACAAGGGCACTCAAAAACGAGTCAGCGATAATGCATCACTGCTACTGTCGTTCGTTCGTGTGTGTGTGTGTGTGTGTGTGTGTGTGTGTGTGTGCGTGCGTGCGTGTGTGTGTGTGTGTGTGTGTGTGTGTGTGTGTGCGTGCGTGTGTGTGTGTGTGTGTGTGCGTGTGCGCGCGTTTGGGTGCTTGCATGTTGCATTGCATACCTGTTGCCTGATGATGACGGAGAGTTCCCTGTAACCGTGTGCAGCGACAAGTGCCGCCAGGTCGTTCGCCTCCAGCTGCAGCAGATTCAGCGCAGAGGCTGGCACACAGTCAGTCGTGTTTGTGGGTTTGGGATGAGAGTGAGTGAATGTGTGTGTGTGTGTGATTGAGAGAGAGAGTGTGTGTGTGTGTGTGTGGAAGTGAGAGTGAGTGAGTGAGTGAGTGAGAGAGTGAGAGAGTGAGTGAGTGAGTGAGTGAGTGAGTGAGTGAGAGAGTGAGTGAGAGAGTGAGTGAGAGAGTGAGTGAGTGCGGAAGGTGCCACATGACATGACATGATGTGATGGGGTACCTTGGACGGCAGGCGGCTTTGGTTGGTTGTGGCCCAGGGGGCGGCATGCCACCTCGCGAATGAGCTTGACGGCCTGCTGGCCGTGGGAGGAGACGGTGGTGGCGCCTTGCAGCTCACGCGTGGTGGTTGCGCGCAGCGTCATCTCGATGGTGCGCGACGAACCGAAGCGAAAGAAGACGAGGTCGTACGTCAGCGGGGATGCGCCAGCAAACGCGCTCACCGCATACAGCCCCAGCATGTCGTCCACAGCTGGAAGCGAGCACACGTTTGCGTACAGATGCGTTGTTTGGTGTATGCGTGCGTGCGTACATGTATGAATGTAGGTATACGCATGTGTGTACAAATGTATGTGGACGCATGTGTGTGTGTATGTGTGAGCAGAGTGACATGAATACACAACGGCGCGGCAAGGCGAATGCATGCATGCAAAGGCAGAGACAATCACGCGCGTGATCAGGGCCCCACTTGAGCCGAAACACAACGTGCACACCCGACGTGCACACATGATCCTATCATCACACATCCCAGACTGGCATTGCAGCGTGGTTGACTGGCTTACCGTATCCGCTGAGCATGTCCCTGTTGGCGTTGTTGATATAGAGGCGAAAGCGGCGCGTGTGCGTGTTGCCTCGGTCATCTTGGCGCGCGAACCAGCCGAAATAGACGGCTGGCACCAGCCCCTGAACACCCGTGCTGCTGGCAGCTGCGTTGGCATTGGTGGGCCTGCGCGAAAGATGCTGGTGTTGCTGGCGCTGCTGCATGTGTTGTTGCTGGTGCTGACCGCGTTGTTGATGTTGCTGTTGGTGCTGCTGCGCTGTGGCGTGCGTTTGACGGTGAATGCCGTGCGTTTGGGGGTTGCTTTGCAGGTGGCGTTGGGAAGAAGGGGACTGGTTGAAGCGCTGCACCATTTCAGGCGGGATGCCTGGCGGCGGCTGCTGCTGGGAGGCTGCTGATGACGACGGCGGTGTGGAGGAGGGCGGTGGGTGCGGGTGTTGTGCAATGCGCAGGTGGGGCTGGCTTGCTGCGCGCTCGCGGCCTTGCTCAAGCTGCGGGTCAACGGGCGCAGGTACAACCCCAACAGGGTATCGCTGCCCCGTTGCTGCCCACAGCAGGTGCACGTTGGTCGTGTTGTCGTTGTTGGTGCTCGAGCTACCGTCGGCGTTGCGGGCATCAGGGTTGGTGCTGGTGTTGGTGTTGGTGTTGGCGGCGTTTGGGCGAGCATGGGCAGGGTGAGGTGGCACGCCTACTGCAGGCAGGTTGGCGGCACTGTGGGCACGCTGCGCCTGTGTCATTGCCCTTAATGTGGACAAGTCCCCTACGCTGTGTACACGCTGCTGTTGTTGCTGTGCTGGCTGTGGGGATGTGGCACGGGATGAGGCAGGGGTGGTGCGCTGAGACTCTTCCCCGGCGCTGTCGGCATCACTCTCATCCGTGCCCAGCGACGTTCTGGAGGATGTGCGGGAGTGCGCTCTGTCATGCCCCTCATCATCGGACGAGGAGGGCCGTGGGTTGCCACGGTGGCTGTTGCCGGATACGGAACCAGACGCCAGGGACTGCAGGTCAAACGGCCGACGCAACGGCACGGATGATGAGGACGATGGTGACGCTGACGTTGATGATGGCGGGGGTGGTGGCCCTGTGATCGTTGTTGTTGTGCTTGTTGTTGCGAGTGCTTGGTTGATGACGGGTGTGTGTGATTGCAGTGTCGATGACGGTGTCCTCCCCGCTGGGTGGTTGGGCACGTGGTGCGTGCCCATCATGGCAGCGGCTACTGCATTTGGCGGCAAGCTACGCATCGGCGGCTGTGTGATGGCAGGGGCGTTGTCGAGCTGCTGATGGTATTGCTGTTGGTGGTGGTGGTGCTGCTGCTGTTGTTGTTGTTGTTGTTGTTGTTGTTGTTGTTGTTGTGGTTGTTGTGGTGTTTGTGGTCGGTGCTGCTGTTGTAGTTGTTGGTGTTGTTGTGGTGTTTGTGGTGTTTGTGGTTGTTGTTGGTGCAGTGTCGCCCGCACGCCAGAGGGGCGATCCTGTGTCAACTGGCGCATGGCATCCTCCAGTGGTGGTGGTTGTGCAGATTGTGGAGAGGGCTCAATCGTGCTGATGGTGTGGAGGAGAGCTGGCTGCGCTGGAGAGTGATGCGTGTGCATGTGGGTATTCGCGTGCGTTCTCGTGGGATGAGCTGAACAACAAAACAACAATACAACAATACAACAACAAGCAAGCCAAAAGGCAAACACGCAAGCAAGCAAGCACACAAGGACGTCAGAGCAGAGAGAGAGGGAGAGAGCCAGCCAAACGTGCAACCACGACCGCGCAGACACATGCACACACCTGCTGCTGCAGGTTCTGCTTTCCGTGCTGGTGTTGGAGGGAGGCGTGTGTGTGTCTGTGTGCGTGTCGGTTTCTGGAGGAAGTGTTGGGGGTGTGTGGTTGCGTTTGCCTCTTTTTTTTTTTTTCGCCTTGCTTCACTTCTTTTTTGGAGGAGTCCCGTCATCACAACTGAAATCAGTCGATCCCCTACTGAGAAGGTAACGACATGATGAAATTCGATGAAAATTCATCATGTCGATCTTGTTTAAGCTGCGAAATCGGGCACTTCGGATGATTTAATGAAGATACAGCTGATCCTCGATTCGGCGCAACATTCGAACCTCGAAGGTTGCGTTGCTGCGTGCAGACAGGTTGGTGGGTTCCACAGGGTTGGTTGCGGTGCGGTGGCAGCGTGCTGGACGATGATGATGATGATGATGATGAGCGGCGGTTCAGATGGGTTGGGGTGTGTGTTTGTGTGTGTGTCTGTGTGTGTGTGTGTGGTTGTGTGGCTGATGCGGGCGATGTGTCGCTTGTGTGTGTGTGTGTGTGTCTGTGTGTGTCTGTGTGGTGATGACGTGATGTGTAATTGTGTGGTGGTGATGTCGTCAACAACCGTTCTGGCTGCTTGGTTCGTGAAAGAATCAATCAACCCATAGTGTGTGGTCTTGTGGTTGGAGCACGAGTGAACGGGGCAAACGAGAGGGAGGGGGCCCTGCTGCTCTTGTCCACCACACCTTGTTCAACAGTACCGCTTTCTGTCCACTTGCTGTTGGCTCTCGTGGCTGGTTCTCTTTGTGCTCACACAAATCACCAACGCACGCACACACGCACACACAACACACACACATCACATCACAGAACCACACACACACACACACACACATCACATTCAACACACCACACACACACACACATCGCATTCAACACACCACACACACACATCGCATTCAACGCACCACACACACACACATCACATTCAACACACCACACACACACACACACACACGCCACACACAACAGCAGACATGGGCAGGAAGAACGCTGCCAACAGCAGCATGCTGCAGGAGGCGTCGATGAACAACTACTCCATGACATCGGCGGCCTCAGGCGCATCATCGTCGGGGCGCGGGAAACGCCGCGCAAAAACCCGCAACATTGCCATCGCCAGTACAAAGGAGGTGCAATGGCAAGGCATCTTCATGATCATCGTCTGGCTGTGCGTGATGGGCAGCCTCATCTTCTTCGCCAACCCGGAGGCGTCCCGCCGCGTCTTCGCCAAGTTCTCCCACCTGCAGAGCTTCTACGGCGCCACCTCCGTGGCCTTTGCCTTTGCTACGGGCCTCGACATCCTGGCCTACGTCAACGCCGTCTCCGATGAGAAGCGCGTGCTGTCCGGCATCCTGGCCTACGTCGACGGCGTCGCCTGCATCTCCTACCTCTCCATGGCCACCCTCAACCTCTACTTCCTTGTCGACTCCACCCAGGGCAACCCGGTCTGGCTCATGCGCTACGCGGAGTGGATCATCACCTGCCCCACCCTCCTGTACTGGTGCGGCCTCGCCTCCCGCGCCGACCGCTCCTCCGTCTCCGACATTGCCACGGCAGACGCGCTGCTCCTTGCCGGCGGCGCCCTCTCCTCCATCCTCCCGAGCTGGCCCGCCTTCTTCGTGTTTGCGGGCTCCTTCGCCACGTACATCTATGTCATGCTGCACATGTGGGGCATGTTCGGCAAGGCCATGCAGCCGGACTTCCAGCCGCCGCCGCCGCTCCCGCGCCACGCCCTGCACCTGCTGCGCTGCGAGATTGTCATGTCCTGGAGCATCTTCCCCTTGGTCGAGTTTCTGCGGCGCCAGGGGTACATCGACTTCCAGGTGGGCGAGGCCATGAACTGCGTGGCGGACTACGCCGCCAAGGTTGGCCTGGCCATGATCATGGTCAACTGCAACCTGGAGCAGATCAACGCCCTGCGCGTGCAGCAGATGCACTCCGCGCTCACGGGCATGCTCAAGGTTATGCGCAAGACCAACCTCTCCTCCTCGCGCATGGCGCAGCTGGACGGCGTGGACGACGACGTCAAGTCGTGGATCATGAACGAGTTTTCGGGCTCGACCGACGGCAAGGGCGGCGACGACGCAAAGGCACAGCAGCGCGCGCGCGGGCGCAAGGGCCACTCCGCAGCCATGGACGCAGAGAAGCTTGCGGCGTCCAGCCTCTTCACGTGGGATTTTGACGCGCTGGACAAGTCGGACGAGGACCTGACGGCGGTGTGCGTGCGCGTGTTCCAGGAGCTGCACGTGATTGAGCAGTTCAACATTGACGAGAAGAAGCTGCGCAAGTGGCTGCAGAAGGTGCGCACGCAGTACAACAAGAACCCCTTCCACAACTGGCGCCACGCCGTGATGGTGCTGCACACCACCTACCTCCTCCTCACCTCCGTTGCCACCGAGTTTATCACAGAGGTTGAGCTGCTGGCCATGCTCATTGCGGCGCTGAGCCACGACCTGGACCACAACGGCCTCACCAACGCCTTCCACATCAACTCCCGCTCCGAGCTTGCGCTCGTGTACAACGACCAGAGCGTGTTGGAGAACCACCACAGCCACCTTGCCTTTGAGATTCTGCTGGAGAAGGGCTGCAACGTTGTGGAGAACCTGGACGAAGATGAGTTCAAGCGCTTGCGCGCAGTCATCATCAACTGTATCCTCAACACGGACATGGCCACGCACCACACCAAGCTGTCCAAGATGGAGGAGGTGAACCGCCTCGGAGGGTTTATCAACCTGGCCGAGAACAATGACCAGCGCCTGTTTGTGCTCGCTGTGCTGCTGCACACGGCCGACCTGCACAACCCCATCAAGCCCTTTGAGAGCAACAAGCGCTGGTCCGCCCGCCTCCAGAAGGAATTCAACAACCAGGTTTGTGTGTTGGGGGGGGGGTGCACCTTGACTTGTACATCCGTGTCACTCTCGAACCAAGCTCACGCATTCAAATCGAGCACTCTCAAACGTGCGCGCATGCACACTTGTACTCACACCCACACACCCACACTCACACACTCATACACACTCACACACACATGAACGCACACTCACACTCACCCTCATTCACACACAAACGCTCAACTACACAAATAGGTTGAGCTTGAAGCGAAGATGAACCTGCCATCGCTTCCGTTTATGCGCGGCAACGACGAGGAGTCGCTTGCCAAGGGCGAGATTGGCTTTATCAACTTTGTTGTCAAACCATGGCACCAGCAGCTGTCACAGGCCTTTCCCAAGCTTGATTTCCTCCTGGACACCATTGACGCCAACCTTGCCGAGTGGAAGGCCATTGCAGAGTCCTACAGACAAATGCATTGAAAGCCGCATGCGGCACTTCATGTGTGTGTGTCTGTGAGTGGTTGTGTGTGTGTGTCTGTGAGTGGTTGTGTGTGTGTGTGTGTCTGTGTGTGTGTGTCTGTGTGTGTGTGTGTGAGTGGTTGTGTGTGTGTTTATTTGTGTGCATGTACTTCAACGAGTGTGCCACGGTTCACGCACACACCTGCGTGGTGTTCTGATGTGGTCAACCAAGGTGTTAATTGCTGTGCTTCTGCAGTGCGTGTGTGTGTGTGCGTGTGTGTGTGTGTGTGCGTGTGTGTGTTTTCGTTCGCAACAAGATTTCCTTTTACCCCCGCTCCCTTCTTCTGCGTTTTCCGTGATCGCCACTAGTTGTGCCACCAGGCAGAGCAAAAGCGAAGCCGGCTGCGCATGCTTTGTATTGTATGCAGTTGTGGATTTGTGTAATGTCTGGGATAAACCAACCAACCAACCAACCAACCAAAGTCAACGGACCGACCAACATACATGGCTTGAGAGCGAGGTAATGGTGATGGTGGTGGTGGTGGTGGTGGTGGTGGTGACGGAAGAGGGGGTTGCAGCCGTGAAGCCAGGGAACAGGGCTTGCTTGGGTCGGGTTGAACATCACCAGACACGGGAACGGAGACAGCGAGAGTGGGAGAGAGAGGAGAGGGGAGAGGGGAGAGGGGAGAGGGGAGAGAGGGAGAGAGAGAGAGAGACCCACCAGAGGGGAAAGAGTTCAAAAGAAACGACAGCAGTTGGGGTACAGGGGAAACGCGAACCCAGACACACAAACGGAGGTGTGGAGTGGAAAGACGGGGGGGGGGGGTTCAGCTGGTTCAGGTGGTTCACTTGTGCTCGTAGTATCCCTTGCCGGACTTTGCGCCCATCTCGCCGCGCTCCACCTTCTCGTCAATCGACTTGACCGGCTGGAACAGCTCAACGTCCTGTGGCATTAGCGAGAGGAGGGGGGGGGGGGTGAGTCATGTGTGGCATGCGTGCATGTTGGCACGACTGGTTATTGTGCATGTAAAGACCAGCTTGTGCGTGATCCTCCCCAAACGAAGCATTCACACACACACACACACACAAACATACACACACACACACACACACACACACACACACACACACACACACACACACACACACACACAAAAGGCATGGGCCTGTGTTTGGGCACTGGGGACGTACGGGGTAGTCGCGGGCCCAGCCGTGGGTGATGAAGCTCGTCGTGTCCAGGCCAACGTAGTCCAGCAGCTGGAATGGGCCCATTGGGTGGCCTGATGATGGTGATGGCGATGGTAGCCGACATGAGTGAAAGAAAACGACGGTGAATCAAGAAACGTGAGCGGTGTGAATGGGATGCGTATGCGTGCACATCGCCTGTGTGTGTGTGTGTGTGTGTGTGCGTGCGTGCGTGTGTGTGTGTGTGTGTGTGTGTGTGTGTGTGTGTGTGTGTGAGTGCGAGAGCACGACAGA